GTGTAGCTACCCCATTGTGTGCTACGTACCGATTCGTCTGAGTGCATTAATTGCTTTGCAGTTCCTTGGTAAAACCGACCTGAAGAGCCAGGATATGAGCTTGTGCCTCTGTGGACCATATTATAAGGGTTGCTGTTCTCGGAATGAGTATGTAAGGTTCGGTCCACAGGTACAGGAAAAGCTTCACTTAAATAACCAGCTCTGCTATCGAAACCATGGTAATCAGCTGGTTTGTTTTCATAAGAAAATGATTTAGTTGATAACGTTTCTCTCTCACAAAAAGATTGAGATTGAACTCCGGAGAATTCTAATAAAACATTTCTCTGGGTAGAAAAGCCAAATACTTCACTGCTACTCTTTTGTTGCACAGGACTGATGCCAGCATTAATCTGGTTTTCCAAAATCCTCCATAAAGACCCCCCTGGGTTTCCACCTTGCCTGATTCTGGTAGTAGATTGGATGACGTTTTTCTTTGGATTTAAGTAATTAGTAACTAAAACAGTTATTTTATCACATTTTCCAAGTTTGTGAAGCTTTTTGAACACCCAGAGTCGTCGGTTGTCTGCAGTTACCCATCTTCCATATCTTTTCACAACACTGATGGTTGGAATATCCCTGATACTAGTACTGCATTCACTCGATAATATGTCATCAAGTGTTTCTCCAATTAACTTACGACGATGACATGTGCCATCCCCAAAACAATTTTTAATCGAATCCTGACTGAAAAATATCTCTGAAGGAGTCAATGATTCTATTCTCGCCATACTGCTTCAATAAAAAAAAGTTTCCTTCTCACTTCTCAGTAGAGAAAAAGAAAGTATATTTTTTCCGGGAATTACCCATGATTCATTGAACCGTTTTACACAAAATATTAATATGGCCATTTTGTTGTATATATTTCTTTGACATAATCGTTTTTTTTCCAACATTGAGAGATTTTAGCTTCTATTCTTTAGTAATAAAAATATCATAATAAAGATCCGCTAAATATGTTTAAATAAATCAATAACAGAACAACAGAAATATTGCAAATGATTTGGTAAAAGCTAATTAGTAACAATAATTCAAAAGATTTTTTTTTTATTTAAAAGGTATTTTTGACTTTTGTTTTTTGTCTCCAGCTGAAAATTGTGGATATTAATTTCGGTCTGTCTGTCCGTCCGACCCATCTGTATTTTTGTCTGTACTTTCTGGAAACTTTCGTTTCCATGCAATGCAATCTCTAGAAGCCTTTGGGCTTTTGCAATGAAATTTTACACAATTGCAACTCCTAATGACCCAAGAAAGACCCCTGCTGCTTTTGATGTCAAGGGCCAAGGTCATAAATTAACCGCGCACGCTCTTTTTTCTTGAGCGGGGACAGAGATTCTCTGAATTAGGTTGTTTAAAGGATTTTGTCCACTTTTTTGGGGGGGAGGGTGTTTTGTCCTTCATTAGTTATAAAGATCGTAATTTTCATTTTGTAAATTTCCAGTCTCACTGTCTTTCGGAGTGTTTGAATAGCACAAGTTTTAGCAAGTCTATTTTACTTATATTAATGCAATAGTCATAAAACTTTTGCATTAAGTTATGACTTAACTTTATGTTAAATGCTTTCTTTTCATCACTGATGCCCTTAACCCCAATCAATATTTGCATAATAGCTTTCTTAGGTTACCATAACTTTTTCTAGTAAAATAAACAAATATGAAATGGGTGTTTTACAATTATTTTCTCTTTGCTTAGATATATTTAAAAGGGATATATCAGATAAAATTAAGTGGAATAGAGGACTATAAAAGACTTCATCCAGTCTAAAAGAAAAACTTCTCTCTATCACTGCACATTACAAATATTACAAGTGAAACATTACATAAACACAAAAATTACGACATCGATTTTAGTCTTTTATTTTTTAAAATATATACACATCATCACTGATTTACAAACTAATATAAACCAACTTTTATGCTTGCTGTGAAAAACACACAAATATAAGACAATCCGTATACTTCAAAATGTGGCAGTGATTTCAGGTAATACTGACATCAATTAAATCAGGGGCAGCAAATGTTACATTACACACTTATCAATTACAAGAAATGAATGATAGACAATAGACACTGATAGACACTTACTGAACTTATATCAATAAGTAATAATAAACTATTTTCACATGAAAAGGCAAGACACATAATGACATAAATCCAAGTCAGGGGCCTTTGAAACATGCAGCCCTTTAATAAAAATACACTCCAGCTAGCATCTACAATACCAGCCTGCAGTTCTGTGCTACAGTATGGATGATATCATATAATTTAATCACTTCAATTGCCAAACTCAACAAATCATACTGGTACTAAAATTAAAAGTTTTTAAATATAAAAAAAAATCAAATTGTCAGCTGTTGAACTTTTTAAATATGACATTGATGTCTTTTCTCTGCCCCATCCATGCAACATACTACATTCTGTAACTAGTAAACTTAAAATATATGTAAAGAAATTTACCCCTAAGTTTTACTTTAGCACTTTACCTCTGAGTAAGGCTTTAATGTTTTAAATAATCATTATATACATTTCTACAGCAGCTGAGAGGACAGAGGTTTTTTTTTTTTTTGAGATTCACACAAATACTGAACACAATAACACTGAGACATGAACTGTACAAATCTACAAATATTTACACACAGTTCTACAATGATTAAATCTCCCTGAGTTTCCATTGCACATCTTCCATATGATAATGACGAAAACTTAACATTGAAGTTATAATCCACAATATGAAAAATGTATCTGAAAATATATGTTACTGATTTAATTATTTCTTGGTATTTTCTGACAGAAATATATTTCGAAACATTGGTTTTTGGCATTATATCACATAAGAAATTATGAAATTCTAAGACATTCAAAGACTAATAGAAAGTTAAATGAGGATGATTATGATTACACTTTTTCTGGAATGTACATGTACACAATGAACTCTCAGTTTTCTGTACTTATCATTAATAATTCTTCACAAAACTATACACATTCAATAATCAGAAAATCTAATGTCCTCCACTTTGTCAAAAACAACCTTTTTCAAAATGTACCTCTTCACATTCACCCTGATTTGAGATGATACTGACAGAAGGATGAGTTTGAGTGTATAGTAACTTCTATTCATATATCACAATGAAAAATATTGTAGAGTATATTTTCGTAGAATCACAGTAAAACAGACATGGTATAAAAGTTAATAAAATACCTGAATAGTTAATTTAAGCCGGGATTGTTTATGGCTTTCTATGAGTGTATGGACATGGCAGAAATTAGTTCACCTTGGATTCCTAACCATGTCACAAGTAAAGAAATCAGCAGTCAGTTGTTGTATAATATACACTGCCAGCATCAGATTTACAGCCTGAGTCAGTTCACAATTATATCACATACCCTGCATCAATATAAAATGCTAAGAACATACCAAAAATAAATTCAACTGAAAAAAATTAAAAACATTGAACCTATTTACTATAAATCAGTGTCACCAATATTTTGAACAGCTTGCTATACATGTACCAATGAATATGATTTTCTTTTAATTTCAAAAGGGTTTTAAATGGAGATGCTAAATAATTTTTTTATTGATAGAAAGCATAGAATGATATATTATATTTCTCTGGTATGAAATTCTTGATTGCCATGAAATCATCATGATGACAACATAGTCTAACAACTAAGAACTCTTGCCTTTTTATAAATTTTCATTCTAATACCTTATACTATGGGTGTATCAACATGAATTTAAACTGTTCTATGAGATACATGTATTCTATATATAAATTCTTCATACCTTTACAAAAAAAAAGAAGAAAAAAGGCCATGAATATTGATTATTTACAATGAAGACATTCTGCCTTTCATTTCCTATAAATATCCACATGTATTACTAGCTCAGAATGTCAGTCATATTTACAACAACACATTATGGCACTTGTCAACCAATGAAAATTTGGCAACACAGTATTGTCTCAAAATAATGTACATACATTCAATGCATAATCAATTATTTTGACACTCTCAAAAAAAAAAAAAAACATCAAAGATGCATATATTTTATGTCTGCATATGATATATACCTATATATCTTTAAGTATTTGGCAAATGTTAAGATTTAAGATGAAAATCCAACAAAACACAAAAAATGACCAACACGTGAAAAAATATTCATGCAATTATTAATTTTAAGCATACAATTTATTATTTCAAAAGATTTGAAAACACGTCTTCTACCTGTGCACTGTTCAAATTCATGAAAATTCAAAAAATACTTTGATATATTGTTGATGGATTTCTCTGATTTCACCATAAAGACATATTACAGTAAATAAAACGATAAAGTATATGGAATGCAGCATGTGATAATATTACCCTCCATATGATTGATACAAAATATAGGTTTTGGCATTGAGAACAAAGCTACTATTACAACATAAACATTCATAAAACATGTGAGACAGTTGACATTTAAGACTAGGATTTCAAGACATGAAAGGACACATGTATTTAAGACAAATCTTCCATCATCACAACACTATGCAGTAGCCTTGACATGACATTTCAATTGAGCTTCGACTCCCAACAAATTGACCTAAAGCTGCTTTGGTTAACAATGATAAATTTCAATATATTAAAAAACCAGCATGTTGGCAGTCTTTATAAACTTTAACAAAATACCCTTGTCAGTTTTATGTTTGAGGACAAAACCAACACACCAAAATTTCATTGACTTCCAGCAAAAATCTATATGGCAGCTGATTATCAAAAAGCTTTTCATACCCTAGAAACTGGTCAATTTAAATGACCACTAAGGCATGGCTTGATTGGAAACACTTTTAGGTTATGGCAGTTTGGAATTCTTTCTCACTGAGTATCACTTTTTATAGTCTTCAAGATCCTAAGTGTACTTGTTACAAATAGGGCACTTAGATCCTTGATCTTTCTCTCATTGGGTGACACAGTTCATATTGTCCCCTAGGTCCTCAGCATACTTTCTCTCATTGTGTAACACAGCTTCAGGGTGTGGGCCTCCTGCTCTTTGTTTGCTTGTCCTGTCTCCAACTCAGAGGGAGCTGTTTATAAAAAGAGAATAAAGACGTGTATAAGTTCGAGAGAGTGATGAAATATTATCTGTCAATAACACAAGGATACTTTTATTATAAAAAGATTTGAACACTGAGAAACCTCTCAAGTATCTAACTGCCCTCAGCTCCAATTAAAAAAAAGTTAAAAAGACCTTCTGGACATCTTAAATCATTGCCATTTTATTGCTTTTAAACCAGGGTGTGTAGCCAGCTATCTTTAGGCTACATAAAATTGAAATTTTGCTTGTCCTGTCTCCAACTGTTTTGAGGTAGCTGTTTATATGTAGAGAAAATAAAAAGTTGGTATTGAGTTCCACAAAAAATGATGAAATATTACCTGTCAAAGAGATTTTGGCATAGGATTTTTGAAGACATTGCCTACTATATAAGCAATGAAACACAAAACCTATGAACAGAGATGAAATGTATATCTGTGAATAAATCTCTTATGTATAGTAAAATTCTTAAAAAAATACCTCCCTTATCTACGCCAATAAAAAAATTTGCAATTCACAAAAAATAGGATAAAAGATTTTAAACTCATCCTTATACAGTATGGCACCTTAAATCTCTTAAATCTTACATGCTGACCCCCACTTACCTCGGACACCCAGTAGTAGGGACATGTTTGGATCGTTTCCCTCTGCTCGCTGAACACAGACTTGTACCAGTGACTGTAGCTCGTGGTAACACATACTCAGCTCCTGTGTAAACTGACGCTGGATTTTCTGATTCTCATCCGCCACCTGCTCCTCCAGAGTTTTCAGCTGCTCCCTTATGATCAGGATCTGTTCCATCAAGTCCTGGTTTTTACTGCTCAGCTACAAAATCACAAATATTAACATTTAATTTATTGTTATAGACTAATTAATCTTTAATAAATCACCTGCGGTATTCATACTTAGAGAATAAGAATCAATGTCCATTGTGTAAAAAAACCTTTCCGCAAAATTTTGAAATAAAAGATATTTTACGAAAGCCGATATTTTTTAATCAATAAATTCTACAATATGTACAATCACACCATGTACCTGTGCAATAATCTAACTTAAAGTCACTATTACTCTTTACCTCTTTCATGGATCGTTTGAGTTTTTTGATGTTTTCCTCCTTTACTCTACAGTCCCCCCTCAGGGCCCCCACCGATTCTTCCTCGTGGGTCAGTCTCTCCTGTAGCTGTTTGACCTCGTTCTGATGCTTCACCTCCGAATGTCGCAATTTACGGTGACTTACCTCCAACAGCTTAAGAATTACAAGAAAATTAGTAATCCATGTAGATTAATTAAATATATGTAAGACCTTGTATTAATTACCCAATACCTAACTTAGGCACAAAATAGTTCTGAAATCAGTTCTGAATTCATCAAAACTCTATCATTTTTTTATATATCAGTGTTTTCAATAAGAGCCGGCAACCGGCAAAGTTAACCGCCTGTACGAGTAATTTTGCCGGCTATGAATTTTCCGTCATTAGGATTTTGCCGATGCTGATACGCGATATCCATAGATTTTATCGCAACTATTTCCATGATCTAGAGTAGCTTCCCTTGAGTGCGCTCTTTTTTCAAGGAAGTTTGATAAGATCGATAGTGTCAGGTAATGGCGTCGCGGACAACGAATATTTGAGCGAAGTCGTGGAGAAATGTGCTGCTGCTGTAATACATGCGTTTGAGATAACATACATTAAGAGGCATAAAGAATGGTCCCTTCCGAAAAGATTTGTTTGTGTTTTATAATTTTTAATTGAAAATTGATAATGTATCCATTCTAATTCTTACAGAATTTCCGAAAACTGTAGATCTTAAAAGTCAAATGTGAAACTGAACAAAATAATTACGAATAAAAGTCTTAATATTTTAATCGTGACTCAGACATAGAAATTCTCACAGCATTTCCTCAAACTGAAAATGAAAAAAATATTCTCTTTTATTCGTCTAAGATCTCTTGAAATACAGGAACAGTGTATCATTTTCACATTTGGGAAGGTTTTAATGTACTAGTATTTTGTATCAAATTCCATTTTCTTAATTATTTTGTTCTGACTATCTGCACAAAATGTCAAAAACGTAAATCAATTTAAAGATATATATATATTGCAGAATATTTCAATTTTTGGGGGGTACTGTAATCACTGTGTTTAAACATGTTTTGAATAAAAGTCCTGACCAATATATGTGAAAGGGATTAAATATGTAGAATTTTAGATATAGTATTCTACCACAGACAATTGCTGATACGCGATATCCATAGATTAGATTTTATCGCAACTATCGAAAAATGAGTCAAAAATGCTGATTTTCGTTTTCATGTGTCTGCCCTGGACCTTGGAAATTGCAAAATGATTTTTTCATGTAGGAGTTAAGACTTCTCATTAGCATTTTAAACCTTGTCAAGGTTAATTAAGCCTTACCTTTTTAGCCTTGTCCAGGTCTATGGCCAGACGTTCATTCTCATGTTTGACCCTCTGTAGCTGTTCCTCACACCTGTGAAGCTCCGCCCCCTCCCCCTCAGATTTTATCCTGTCTATCTCCCCCGTAACAACAGCTACTTGCCCAGCCAATCTTTTTTCCTGAAAATATTTCAGAAGTAAATTAAGTCCCTTCTTTCTTGTTTGTGATATATCAATGCAGCATGCACACAAGAAATTTGTTGAAAGGATACTTCACATACAATAAGTAATTTATGTCCTACCTTTTGCCAGCTCCTGTATCTGGACTTCGGGAATAGTAAAATCTCTGCTGGAGCTCTTCAATGCGGCCCTCCTGAAACTGGGTCTTCTCCCTTAAACTCTGAAGGTGGCCTCAGTTAAGGAGATACATGTAACTAATTTGTATGACAATGTTCTACAAATCTTCAAGAGAATCACATCTTCAAATTTGATTTTATGCTTACATGATTAATATTCACCAGTTTTTAAATTTACCATTTTCATAAATCTGTTCACTCTAAACAGTTTGTGCAAGAAATTATTGTATGAGACAAACACTGATATCAAAATCAGGTAGAACTGAAGCACTTAAAGTTGAGGTTTTAAAAATGTTGATTCATGCCATGCAATGGATATAAAAAGAATAAAGAAATCTTCTAGAGGCAATAATGAATCTGTGATAAAGGATATTTCTTGGACGTTTTTCATGCTTTCCTCTACTGTGGGGAGGTCTGACAGATAACTCTGTAATTCGTCCAGCTTTTCCTTCATCTGACTGTGATTATCAAACATCTCCAGGTATTTCCTCTTCCAGTCCTCCTTCTCTCTCTCCAGCTCATAAAACTACAACACAAGATTATATTTACTGCTCACAGAGAACTAAGAATGCCTAGAGTTTAAGTCAATATCTTAATACTGTATCTTCCACCTTGATTTACATTTCTGCCCTAGCAGCAGAAAACATGGATTATAACATAATTTATCCAGTATATTATTATTACAGTGGAGCCTCACATGATGGTTCCCAGTCAAATTGTTCTTCTATGTGTAAAAAATTAGTTAAACAAGACAAAATAACATTAAAAAATTCTGTTCCAATGAAAAATCATCCGGATACTGAAGCATCCGGATATCTGAAGTTCCACTGCACAGTAAAACTTGTTTAGTAGGAAGGAAATACTGATATAGCGAATTATTATAGCCCTACCTTTTTAAGCTTTTGGAATACTAGCTCCTGCTACTCTGGCAATTTTTTACTAGACCTGACCCTTTAACCACTAGCCCTGACCAAACTAGAGAAAAAATATATAAATACAAAATACTTCATATAAAGTACAAAATACTTTATAATTCTTTTTTTCTTTGCAGATGATAAGAATCCATATCTAAATTATAACGAAATTTTCTAGCACATGTGAAACGTGAAAACTAGGTCATATACACTGTACATGTGGCTTGTCGTGTTTAGTCCTAATTTGATCAACTTTTATCCAATATTAATATTGATACCATTAAAAATGTTCAGAGAGATTAAAGTATAGTAAAAATTTTAGTTAATTAATTATCTTTTTAGATGGTTTACCGATGTCGTAAACGTAAACTTTGAAATGACAATCGTAACTACTAACTAGCCATTTCCGTGAATTATAAATAGCTTATTGTTTCTCTCTAGGAAAATGGTACACATCACATCTTATATTTGATTTTATGTGGTTAAACGTTTCAATTTTATTTTTTCATCGACAATAAATGAATTGATTAAGAATATATAAGTTCATTTATTTTATTTACACGACCAGTTTGAAATTTACCATCTTTCATAAATTTGAGCAGTCAAACCCTAGTCCTTGGCAATGTAAAATTTTATGGTTATAACGAACAAATATAGTGAATTTACGGGTGTACTGATATATCAAATTTACATAGTTTATAAAAGACTTTCAAAGATCTCAAAATTTGATGAATTGAACTGGCTTTTTTTTTCTAAAAATGTTGATTCATGCAATGCAATGGATAAAAAAATTATTAAAAATTCCTCTGAAGGCAAAAACCAAATTTAATTTTAAAATAATTATTCAACTGGATGTAGAATTGTGTTGTTTTTATGAGTTCAAATTTACCGCTTTCCTCTAGTAACGGAAGTGATGGGAAGCTAGGAGGTAAAAACTGATACATAGATAGCAGCCATGATGCTTGTTTACATGAGGTAAGATCGAGTAACTGTTTGAAATTAAAGGTACATTCATTAAATCCTTTTCCATCTCCCAAGGACTGTGATTGATCAAACATCTTATGCTGGTTGTCAGGTATTTCCTCTTATACAAAATGTTATGCGTTCCTTTTCGGAAATCAACCATAAAACTACAATAAAATTAAATTATTTGTATATAAAATGCAGTTCATAATAAAACCTTAGTTATCAAAGGTATGTTTCGTAATATTTGCTTTCCTAACATATTTGGTAGTAATACTTGAAGGAAAACATGCATATTGCGAATTCGCTCTATATGGTTATACGAATTCGTTATACGGATATAACTAATTACGGATATAGCGAATTAAATTCACAGGTCCCATGTTTACTGTACTACAGTATATGTTAGACATTACCTTAAAAATGTTTAAAGTCTGATCCTATCTTGTAGGCTTTTTTTCTTTTACCAATAAGTATTTTGTATGGAAGCCGGTAAGTGCCAGGTAGAAAGAATATTTTATCTAGCGGCCACCAAATAATTATTTGATGGCCATCAGCTGCATTTTACCACATTTTTCTACACATGAGTCAGGTTTCAAATTTGAACATCAGTTCTTTGCTTATTTCTTGATTTTAATACTAACAACAACAATTTCTAGGTTAAGAATTTACCTGTGAGTCTGAGTATTCTGGAGAATTTACCTGTGAGTCTGAGTATTCTGGAGAATTTACCTGTGAGTCTGAGTATTCTGGAGAATTTACCTGTGAGTCTGAGTATTCTGGAGAATTTACCTGTGAGTCTGAGTATTCTGGACCTGACCCTCGCTTCCTCAGGATTGCCCTCAGCTGGTCTACTTCCTGTTCTGTGGCCCTGCATGGCACAACAAGAGAAAATTGCTGTATGTTTTCTTACATGTAAATGACAGCTCTAGCCTGATATGCAGGCAGGCATTAAGAAGATAGATATAATTATGGTAACAATCAATTGGCAGTTCAATGCTCAAGAAATTTGAAATGCAGTATATCAATCAAGATCCTATATCTGATGAAGCAGTTATTATCTTACCCTAATTTCATTTCCAACTCATCCAACTCGGCATTCTTCTTGGTTCTAATTTCTGCATTCTCAGCTTTTAATTGTGCATTCTTGAGTTCAAGTTCCTACAATTATTTTGCACATTAAAACATATTAATAACCTTGTATATGAAGAAATGCTTTATAGTGCCATAAACTCTAAATCTGCTCAAAAAAAATTTCATTATCATACATACATTGATATGTATTTATTTGTATGCCTCCCATCCCTTCTAACTATACGTAGCACACCTCTCCACATGCTGCCTTTGCCAACCCCTACTATCTGTATTTGTTTGTAACCCCTCCCCCCATACTCATACCCAGGCCCACCCCAACCCCCAAAATTTCATGTATTTGTTTGTATCCCACACCAACCCCAAGCTAATTAGAAATTGTATTTTTTCTATCCCCCTACCTGTATTTGCTTGTAGGCCTCCCTCCCCCCCCCCCTCTCCATTCAGTACTCCTACCTGTATTTGTTTGTAGCACACCTCTCTGCTGCCTTCTCCATTCAGTACTCCTACCTGTATTTGTTTGTAGGCCTCCCTTCCCCCCCCCCTCCATTCAGTATTCCTATTTGTTTGTAGGCCTCCCCTCTCCCCCCTCTCCATTCAGTACTCTTACCTGTATTTGTTTGTAGTTTCCCCCCCCCCTCCATTCAGTACTCCTACCTGTATTTGTTTATAGGCCTCCCCCTCTCCTCCCTCTCCATTCAGTACTCCTACCTATATTTGTTTGTAGGCCTCCCCCCCCTCCATTCAGTACTCCTACCTATATTTGTTTGTAGGCCTCCCCCCCCTCCATTCAGTACTCCTACCTGTATTTGTTTAAATTCAGTTTTATATTTGTTTGTAGGCCTCCCCCCCCTCCATTCAGTACTCCTACCTGTATTTGTTTATAGGCCTCCCCCTCTCCCCCCTCTCCATTCAGTACTGCTCTCTTGAGTTTCCCTTCATACTGCTTGTTGTCTTCCTCTAGCCTCATCACCTGCATCTTCAACCTGCAAACAAAATTTCCATTTCTCCATCAAAAAATAATTTTTGCACAAAAAATCCTAGAAAAGAACAAAATCAACAAATGAAGATTTCATTGTTTAAAATTGAATTTTGAAATAAAAGCTGACAAACTTTTCAATGAGGGTGTCCTTTTCCTTGATGATGTCATCAGCTGCTCTACTGACCGACGCCCACTTCCTGGGATTATCGTCTATGTTTTTAAACAGAGAGTCAAAGCCTCCATTGGTTTCACCTTTAGAATTTCCCTGAAAAAATAGATTGTAATATAAATGTTAACTTATGAGAGTTATTAAAAGTTAATATACATGTTATAATACATGTTAAAAAATGGATTATTTATTAGTTACTGTAAAGCAAACAATTCCACTTTTCATCTAACTTTTTTCATGCATTTCATGTGATGTAAAATTATTCACCATGTTTTAAAATACACTAGTCTAATGCTAATTTTTTAAAATATAAAGATATTTTCAGTCCAAAAACTGCTACAATTCTACAACTAAAACCAGACAAGGACTTCATTCAAAGCCAAATCTACTTTTAAAATTTTTCTTTAAAAAAAAAGCCCGATAAAATGTAAAATGGTCTAAATAAGAATAACCCAAAACTACTTAAAGTTCTAAATAAAATAAAATTGCTTACTTTTTTAAAGAAATAAATAATCACACTTTAAAAGAACCTTAACATAAAAAGCATCAACCTAACTTATAAATAAAAACCTTTCCTTCAATGGAAAAAAAAGTATACACATGTAAAAATAAAAATCTAAATCCAATCTATATTAATCTCCTTTACGTGAAATTAAACAATACTGAATAAAGCCAGATTCGCAGTGATAATCAGTGTACTGATAGTACTGATACCTACACTGTATGTGAAGCCTCTGGTATTTGTCCAGTATGGCGAGTCTAAGGAACTTTGCTGGGGATAAAATGGCAGTTAGTCATCAGACTTTTGACTTCTAAATTCTTTTTTAAAGTTAAGAGTTATTCCCCTTTTTACATTTTCAAAAATTTTCTCTTTTTTTAATGTTTTTATTCATTTAATTTCCTGTGTTTCTTGAATATTACATTTAAATATCTAAATCTTATTTTTTCATATCAATTAAGCCTGCATATAATTATGTGCTTCCATGCCTATATATTCTGTGAATGTTGGTAAATGTGCATTCAACTGAATAGTGTTCCTTAATTTTTTCAGTAGTTCAATATATATTTGATGAAAAACACAATCAAGAGAAGTGACTTGGAATGAGGTTAAAGGTCAGTATTTCATTCAATCAGTGAATTTCATTGGTTGTCAAATCTCATGCTGAAAGCACTCGTGAGAATGCATTACTCTGAGGTGAATTTTGAGAAATGAATGATGTAGACACAGCCAGTTTTATTACTATGGCTGTGATGATTTCATGAGCAACACATTATCATGATTATACAAAAACTATAGTTTTAAAAATAGTTTTGCAATCACAGATGTCAGTATACATACAAGTCCCTATACTTACTATTGTGCTAGTTATACTTGGCCAGATCTATAAGTACAGTGTTTAATTTACATAAATTATGATATAGTACATGCTGCTATATATAGCAATCAGTAAAAATCATAGCCATTTCAATGGTCACTACAGATAACTGACAGTTGAACTGGTAATCCCTCCCTTCCCTTTCCAATACAGCAGAGCAAGTTTTACCTGGGTACTTGGGGAACTTTCTTTATATGTGTCCATATGTCCTCTTTGCCACTGCCTCAAATCTCCCGTCATATACTTCAAATCACCTCCGTACCTGGAGCGAGATTTAGAGCTCCGAGTCACGGCATCATTGTCAGAGTAATACTTATCCTCATACAGAGTTGAGGACTTCCTACTGTCCCTGATATAATCAGCTCCATCAGTCACAGAAGACCGGGACTTCACAGGTGCTGTGTAGACAGAACTCGGAATATCCGAGGGGGTAGATTTAGGGGGCGAGGCCCAATTACTGTCATTGATTGGACCGTCAATGTCCTCTCCATGTGACACAGAATAACTGGAGTACTTTCTCTGGTACAATTCACTAGAGGAGTCATACTTGTGAGGGCGGTCAAGCGTGTCTTTGATGTCATATCTTGGTCTCTCTAGCGTATCCTTACTGACCGTGCTGTCATACTTTGGGTAGCTATAAGTATCCTCTGCCGACAGTTCCTTAAAGTCTTTCTCTAGATATGTTGAATCTGTTATTCCGTACTTAGATGGTCTGTATGACTGATAATGAGGTCGATGGACCGAGTCGGAATATCCACCGAGTCCGTTTGTGAGGGAGTCCTGGGGGGTGGGGGAGAGTGGACTCTTGGGGTGGGAATAACTATTGTATCTGTCTGATCCTCCTCTGCTACTCCAGCCTACAAGATACGGCAAATATCATACATGTACTGTAAATATCAAAATATATGTGTGGAAGCAATTTACTCTAAATATGTGATACCCTTCTATTTTTCCCCCAAACCCCCCCCCTCCCACACTTACCAATATCTTAGTTATTTTTTTTATTCAATATTAGCTTTATATTAATATCTTGATATTGCATTACCAATTTTCAAATGAAAAGAAAATGGACATCAAAAGAATAAACTAGAGAAACCCATACATTAAAACTGAAGCCCTGAAAGCTCCTCAAAACATTTTTAATCAATCCTTGAAAATTTAACACCCCCCCCCCCCCCAGTGTCTTCAGTTCTCTTTGATATATGTGTGTTGAGGGAGGGGGAAACGAAATGACTATCTTTTCCAGTTTGAAAGTGATTCTTTTATAACTCTTCTTGTCACACAATGGCTAAGATGGTGTTTTACATGAAAGAATGACATCACTGATGTATAAACATATGTTCTGCAGAACAAACTGTTTTAGCTGATAAGAAGTGCACATAAGAAGTAACACATACCTGATGATAGAAGATTACTCTGTAGCATCTTCTGATAATCTGAAATGATAACAGGAATTTCTGATTAAGTGGCATATGTTATCCAAGCTGTAAGGAAAAGGTGTCTCTATTAATCCTAAAAACCCCGACATTAGAACTGTATTCTCTAAACGTGCGAAGACTCACTAAAATACTGTCTTATCACATCCATCTTATTTCTCTCACTGTTTCTGTTTCTTGTTTTAAATATTCTAATAAAGCTGCTTACATTTTATCCAGATATTTAAATGACAATTATATTTTTACTATGGCCCATTATATAAAATAAAGGTATCATTGATGGATTTTGTATATTCTCAGGAATTCAGCTTTAGATTACACTTTTTTCATGGATACATCAAAGAAATATTGTTCACTAGTTTATTTTTCTGTGCTGCATTAATATTTTTTAAAGCTAACAATGCCTGTCATTTTATTTCACAGCAATCCTGCATAATAGATTAATAGTCATATTTACTTTCCATTTACCTATATGCAACACATACTAAACACTGTCTTTAATGTTCATTTCATTGAAAAGAAAACTAAAAGAGAGCAATGCATAACATATTTGACCAAATTCTGCAATAAGCTTGAAAGGGATTAATTTTAATGGCTATATAACACAGTTTATGGATAAGACGTTTGCTTTGATCATGTTGATGTTACTGGATTTAATCAATATTATAGGATTATTGAACTTATATTGGTGAATATTGGCACAAGTTGGCTGTACAAATGCACAAGCTTGTGAGTGGACTTGAGATTAATAATGATTTTTGCACCAACCCCACCCCCTAACAGCCTCTTGAATACATCTGTACAGCTCTCTTATAAATGCATCATTCTAGTAAAAAATATACCTGACAGAATGCTATGATTATACATTACTTCTAAACATATGGACAGGTAACTAAGGCCTAATCAAAGACAACCATCTGCTTCTAAAAATCTTGTCTTACCTGAAATTGATCACAGTTCCCTACCCTCTTGTGCAATGAACCAACAGAGCTAAATTAATCACATACAGGGACAACACAATTCAAGGCAAACATCTCAATTAATCGGAAATTTAAACATTAAAGGGCCATTACTTATCATTACCGAGATAAACATCATCATTTTCTATGCAGAACTTCGCAGATCTCCTCGGTACATTGTGTACAAAGGCCTCAAATATACTCCATAGGAAGATAATAGTGGATGATTAACCTATATGTTGTTTTATGGCCTTATATACAAGTATTAGAAACTTTACATCCATATGGATTTAAAATGCTCAAATGACAACAAAGTCAATATCTAAACATTAATATCATGGTTTCTTTGATACAATTTATGAAATGCTACTACAAATCATGCAGAAACAGTACAAAATACAGAAGTTGTTATTTCTAATTTTGTGAAGACAAAAAATATCCATGTAACTCGATCTTGACGTCTATTATTTTTAAGATACGTCAATCTTCACTATTGATTAATTTATCAAAATTCAACCAGAAAAATGGACCCTAGACACAACTAGGGGGTAAAAATAAGGGTCAACATTCAATAGTTGTTAACAAATTTTCAAAAAGCCTAGCTCATAAAATATGTCAAACAGAAGCAATGAAGAGGGTATTATTATCAAGTCGCTCTTTTTGATTTTCTGTCAAACATTCCTACAGACCTAAGAATGGCAAGTGTCTACAATACTTCAGGTGACAATTTCTGCATGGTATTTAAAATTTAAAAAACAAACATATTCAGAATAGCTATCTCAATGATATATTCAGAAAGGAGGACTTGTATATATATATAACTAGGCATTGTTGTGAACAATGAAAGAGGTTTAATGCATGTATTTACTTTTTCAATTTATAAAGCAATACATAAGCAACTGATCTTGGAATAAATTATTGATTTATCTCAGAACATACTCTCACTTATTTCATACATCTAAAATATTCATTTTTGAGAGTTGATTCACACAACTACACTGTTACAGTAGATTTTTAAAATGCTAGAAGGATACTTTCATTTTGAAGATTTCTTTAATAAATCCTAAAAAATTTGAAAAAGAGATTTTTTTTTTAAATTTAGCAAATATTTTTTAAAAATACTTTTTAAAATTTTAATTATTACCAAAACCCATAACACGTATTTATATACAAGTTCAACTTGATAAAGAAGAACTAACTTACATTACTTCATATATTAATTATACAGAACATTAATCAATTAATATATACATACTGTAAAATCACATATTTTTGTGGGGTCAGTTTTCTGTGGTTTAAGGAAAAACTCTTGGTTTGTGGGGATTTGATATCATGGATGATTGTAGAGTAATTATTTTACATTTCATGGTGGGCATGAATTCATAGGTCTCTTCATACCTTGAAAACAATGAAAATTAACCCCCCACAAAAATTTGTGATTTCACAGTATTAAATATTTCATAACTAATCTACACATTTTATTAAAAAAAGAGAGAAAAAATAATCATCTTACCTGGCACATTACTTTGTATGGGGTTTCCTGATCCCGCCCATGACATGGCTATAGTACATCCAGAGTGACCAGGGACCAGAAAATTCTTCACATTACACAACCTGGGGATTAAAACCAAGGACTCATGAAACAAAGACACTGGACATCAGTCCTCTGTTAACAGTCTCGCTGATCTCATCGCTAAATGAGTGTGGTCTTAGTGGGATTATCCCACAGACTGAAAACAGCGATTAGCGAATTAAACCCGCCTGACTTTTACCCCCAAAAGAAAGTTACCAAACCATGTTATATACGGCAATATTCATGTGTCCAAGCTTGCAGTGGACAATTATTAAAGGACATGGGATATTTTATCAATACACATTGTTCACAAGTTATTGTTATAGCGGGTGTTTAACTTTTCCCTTGATCTTAAGAACGTGTTAAGTGGAGGGCCCATGTTAGAACAGCCTTAATCTATCCTCTCATCCTACCCAATAAATGCCAGGCCAAATCCAATACCTGCTACAAAGCGACATACTCATACTACACTCCAGAATGTGCGACTGATTTAACACTCTCTTCATACGTATTCTAGATAAGCAATGATAAACATTGCACAGGATATGCGTTATTTCACTTTTGTTGTATCAATAAACAATATCACATAATTTGTGTTAACACTATCAACTTGTTTGCTCATCATTTCCTGTGAAAAATAAAACCAAACTATATACTGCTCTATATGTCACGATGTTGTGGGTACAGTATGTATATTCAAAATCAGTTGAACATGACATGCATGTGCTGGAAAATACAGATTTTTTAAAAATGATATCCCCAATTGAAATTTTACAATCTATTCATTGACAATTACTTTTGCATTGATTATTCTCTAACCCCTTTCTTTACATATGATTAATTAAGATTTAATTACCTTCTGAAATGACCATGTTCATAAAATTCCCTTATAAACTTGTCGACACTGAGTTCACCAAACAAACCTTTAACCCCTCTCAGAATTGAGCTAATGATTGAAGTATTGGTACGTACAAATTTAAAGGACCCAATTGTCTTGTTATAACCCCAATCATTCATGCATGCATGTATATACATACAAGTATATGCAAAGTCCTCTATTAACATGTCTTGATAATTGATCGTTTTGTTAAAAGCCAATTTTCAACATTGCAGACATATATGCCATTATAAGATAGTGAGAGTCTCCTCTATTCATTGAAGTGAATGGTCCCTTGAATAGTTGACATAATTGTCAAGATAAAATTCTTTGAAAGATGTGTTTTTCTTGGATTATCCCCTCTTCAAGAGATAATGGATGAAATACTTTTTCCCTAATGATCTTTACCATTCACACAAAATAATATTGATGTTTTTGTTTTTTCATGACGCTGGACATGTTTTGAAATTCCTTTAAACTTCATTTCATTGACCCCATTTAAAACATAGTAAGGATAAGCTTTTTAATGCACTGAACTGCTAATAAAACAAAAACATCTCAGAGCATTTTTAAAATCCTCTGTTAATTTTCCTGGTATTTTAAAAAACTAAGTCCCATACTTGGAAGCAAGTTGCTACGTGTGCCTGCTGATAAGTTATGTTAACACTACAATAACCTCGGGGGCTGGCCAATTTAAATCTTTTAGCTATCAAAATATTAGCAGTAATGTTGCCATCAGAATTACATGAAAGTCAACGAAATTTTGGTAATGAAATTCCAAAAAGAGAATCAAAACATATGCTTCTTATCCTCTTTAATAACAAAATAACAGAGTACATGTATTACGAACTCACAAAAATGAAGGCTTTCTGTTATCATGGTAATACCCGACTTGGAACTTAATAAAGAAACCTTCTCAAAGAACTAGTCTTTGTAAAAGTCGAGTCAATAGCTGTTTAGACTTACAAATGAAGTGTTCTGTACAAAAAAGAATTCAAAAAGATAATGAAAATATCTTATTTTAATGAACTTCAAGAGATTTGTAGTTTGAAGAAAAAAAAGATTTTGTTGAAGATAATACATGTATAATGGAGAAATATTGTCTCCCTTAGACTTTCTATTCATCAACAATAGTTCTATTACTCAAGTTTCTACTATATCTGTATTCAATGAAACTTAAAAAGAAAAGACAAATGTTCCCAAACATGTTAAATCATTCCTTTCCTTTGAGCTTGTTTAATGCACAATGGGCCAAATAAACATTAAATTTCATAAAATTAAACAACATATGCTCTGACATTCATTGCAGAGAATCCACTTGCTATTTTCACAGAACTCATGTTTTTTTTATAAACCAGATGTAAAAACTGCATGCTTAAATGCATTTTTGTATACAACACATGTATAGCTGTCAATCAGTTTCATATTTAAACATGCATCTCATACTTCAAACAAGAGGCCCATGGGCCACATCGCTCACCTGAGAAGCTTTGACCATTCTGTTCTTTACCAGATTTCACCCTTGTTATACATAATGCATCCCCACCCTACCCCACTGATCATAATTTAGACATTTTGAAATCTACACTATCCCATGATCCTTCCATGGGCACATATGTTTCAGCTTTTTTGGCCCAGTGGTTCCTGAGAAGAAGATTTTCAAAGATTTTTCCTATATATTTCTATGTAAAACTTTGATTCCCTATAATGGCCCCGCCCTTCCCCCGGGGGTCATGATTCCTACAATTTAGAATTTACACTACCCAGAATGCTTCCACATAAGCTTCACTTTTTCTGGCCCAGTGGTTCTTGAGAAGAAAATTTTCAAGATTTTTCCTATATATTTCTATATAAAACTTTGATTCCCCATTGTGGCCCCGCCCTTCCCCCGGGGGTCATTATTTGAACAATTTAGAATCTACATTATACCAGGATGCTTCCACATAAGTTTCAGCTTTTCTGGCCCAGTGGTTCTTGAGAAGAAGATTTTCAAAGATTTTTCCTATATATTTCTATGTAAAACTTTGATACCCCATTGTGGCCCCGCCCTTCCCCTGGGGGTCATGATTTGAACAATTTAGAATCTACATTATACCAGGATGCTTCCACATAAGTTTCAGCTTTTCTGGCCCAGTGGTTCTTGAGAAGAAGATTTTCAAAGATTTTTCCTATATATTTCTATGTAAAATTTTGATTCCCCATTGTGGCCCCACCCATCCCCCGGGGGTCATTATTTGAACAATTTAGAATCTACATTATACCAGAATGCTTCCACATAAGTTTGAGCTTTTCTGGCCCAGTGGTTCTTGAGAAGAAGATTTTCAAAGATTTTTCCTATATATTTCTATGTAAAACTTTGATACCCCATTGTGGCCCCGCCCTTCCCCCGGGGGTCATGATTTGAACAATTTAGAATCTACACTATACCAGGATGCTTCCATATAAGTTTCAGCTTTTCTGGCCCAGTGGTTCTTGAGAAGAAGATTTTCAAAGATTTTTCCTATATATTTCTTTGTAAAACTTTGATTCCCCATTGTGGCCCCGCCCTTCCCCCGTGGGTCATGATTTGAACAATTTAAAAACTACACTATACCAGGATGCTTCCACATAAGTTTCAGCTTTACTGGCCCAGTGGTTCTTGAGAAGAAGATTTTTTAATGACCCCACCCTATTTTTGTCTTTTCTTGATTATCTCCCCTTGCGAGGGGATATGTCCCTTCATTTTAACAATTTAAATTCTCCTTTACCCAAGGATGCTTTGTACCAAGTTTGCTCAAAATTGGCCCAGTGGTTCTTGAGAAGAAGTCGAAAATGTGAAAAGTTTACAGACGGACAGACGGACGGACGGACAGACGGACGGATGACGGACAAAATGTGATCAGAAAAGCTCACTTGAGCCTTCGGCTCAGGTGAGCTAAAAATATATATCATATTTTGGTAACAAAACAGCCTGAATTTAGACAGATAGATTTACAGTTTTCCTGTATGTAAGGGGTGCAATTAATCTTAAATCAAAATGCAAAATAATGCCCACAATGATTGATCATATTTACAGAGTTCCTCTGAAGTCTATAAAACATAAAAATGTGCCAATTTCATTTTTTACAAACTAATTTCATAACTATTGAATCTGGTTAATTGACATTAAATGTACACTTTATAAACTGATTTAAATAAATTATGCACTATAAATTTAAATCTGTAATGTACTACAAAAAACTCAACATTGAACAAATAACATTATTGAATGGAATGATAATTTTTTCCTTAATCCACATCCTCCTTCACATTTTGACTTTTTCTCCCTACCCCCTCGTAGTCTGGGAGGAGAGCGGCCACTGTCAATCTCATGTCCTTCCTCCGTTTTTCTCGCTCCCTCTCTTTCCTCAGTTCTTCTGGATGTCTTCTCCACTTATGAAAGTACTTGGATTTCAAACTCCAGATACAATGCTCCCTTGCTCTCCTCTCTTTCTCAATATTGTCTATCTTTTCCTGCTGGGCCCATTCACGCCATGTTAGGAAGATTTTATTTTTCAGATTTCTGTTGTGGTAACGTTTTGCCCTTCCTTCAAGAATTTCCACATGGTTCTTCACCAGTCTCCAGTTTTTGAAACATCTTTTGATCAGTAAATACTCAAACATTTTGTCAGCCATTTTTTCTTTTTCCTTCAGAATGTCTTCCACATTATCTCTCCACTGCCTCAGAACTTTCCTCTTCAAACATTCTCTCCAGTGCTTCACAGCTCTCACTTCATTTTGTCTTGCCATTTCCACCAACTTTTTAAACCTAAGCATCCCCTTATATTTCAGCAATGACTTCAGATAGTGTTCATCTGCCAAGGCAGTCAGCCTCTTCATTTTCTCTTCCAGTTCCAGTTTTCTCTGTTCTCGTAATTTCTCCTGTTTCTTTTTCTCTTGGGTTGCTGCAATCCTAGCCTTTTTCTCCTCCTGCTCCTTTCTGATGAGTTCCTCTTCCTCAGCTTTCAGCTTCTCTAATTTTTCTTCCTCCATCTGTCTCCTTTTTTCTTCCCTCTCCATTTTCAGTCTGGCCCTCTCAGCTGCTCTTTCATCCATCTTTTTCTGCAGGGCTAGATACTTGCTGTTGGATTTGACAGAAGTGGATGTAGCTGAGGAAACACTGGATCTACTTGTTCTTTCACCATCATTTACACTAGATCTATCTGTTTCAGGTGGGTGTCTGTGGTTTTCTCTATTTCCTTGAGTTTTTACACTTGTCTCAGATTTGTTAGTCTCTGGCTGCTTTGAGAGCCATCCTCTCTCTTTCAACACACTTTCTGATAATGGCTGTTTATCTAACAAGTTTTGAATTTCCTTCTGAGTGTCTGCCTGCTGCTGAAGCATCTGTTTCTGTTGAGCGAACTGTAAATCCTCTATCATTCTCTTCTGTTCTTGTAGCTGCTTTTGTTGTTCTTTAATGATCTTCTGCTGAGAATTGTGTCGATTTTCAAAGTTATTGGTAATGTATTTGGTGTTCATCCATGGCTGTGTTCCAAACCTCTTCCTGACTTGTACATCTGTTGGTTTTTCCTGATCGGCCAAATTTTCTCCTTCTCCTCCTAGCTTTCCTATTTCTTCTGGAGTTAAGTTTAAATGTCTCTTGTTTATTTGCCATGCCTGTGTAGGAATTCTGCTTGGAGGAGATATTTTCTGTTTGTGTGAGATGTTCGTATCAGAGGACACTGTACTTAAAGCACTGGAAGGTCGCTTTGGTTGTGTGTTGAAAAAATCATCCACATTCACCTTTTTTAAGTCTTGAGATACACTAGTGTCATCCTGAGCTCCTGTCCATAGCTTCCCCTCCTGTGCAGCTTCTAGAAATACTGCCATTTTCTTCTTTGTTTCCTCTTGCATGTTTTTCATTTCTTTCCTCTCTTGCTCTTGGTTAACCCACACCTGCCAGGCCAAAAAATACTTCCTAAGTAATACAACTCTGTGGTGGTTTTCTGCTCTCTGGTTGTTTCTGTGGGTTTTGATCACATCAATTTCATGCTGCCTTGCTTCCATCTCTAACCTCTTTGACCTCACCACAGACCTCCATCCATTCCAGGCCCTGAGGAGGAGCTTCCAATCAGATAGAGCCCTGGCTTTCCCAATCTGTAACCGTCTCTCTAACACAACATTGTACCAGGCTTTAAAACAATTATGTAAAATCTTCAGTTCATTAGCTTTTCTTCGAATCTCCATTTCCTCCATTTTCTGGATCAGAACCTTTTGTCTTTCTTCCATTTCTAATTGTTTTTGGAGTCTTTCCGCTCTTTCTTTTTCTCTCTGCTGATCAACCAGAAGTCTGGCTTCTGAGATCACAGTTTTCTTCTCAGTCTCTTCACTTTTTTTAGCCTCTTTCTGCTTCTGTCTTTCCTCCTGCATTTCTTTCCTTATTCGAGCCATTTCTTTTTTGATACTCATCTCCTCTTGTCTAGCCTTAATTAGTTTGTCCTTCTCTTCCTTCATAATCATTAATTTTGCATGATTTTGAGCTGTTTTTCTAGCTTGCTGTTCCCTCCTTTTCATCTCTAACTGTTTTTCTCTTTTCTCACGGTTCTCTTTCACCTGTTTATGTCGGAGCTCCATTTTCGTTCTGGGATCTTTGTAAGTTGACGACTCATCCAGCCCAAGGTCCTCTGTAAAAGCTTCTTTCACTAGTTTCTTATTCAACATATGCTCAATGATTGAATCCACTGCCTCCTTTTCATCCATTTTATCCAGAAAAGCATACGGATCAGACTTGTCTTCTTTCACTACTCTTGGCATGTCAACCGGTTCGAAAGTTGTTATCCAGCATGTGATCCCATTCCTTCTTGACCTTAGATTCCAGTGTTCTCTGATACAGAGCATCATCCGTGTAGACGTCTCCTCCGCTGTCATCCACGTCTAGACGGACTTTGTCTTCCATCCACTGAGACAGAAGATCCTGGGCCTCCGTCAGAGCTGTGTCATGTTCCCGTAGTTGGTCCACAGTCTGTAGAACTGCAGATCGTTTCCCCGACTGATGCCTCGATGGTTTTCCCTGAAATACACTCTCTGCGGCTCTTTGTGAGGCATCTTCGACTCTCTGAATCCAGTTTTGAATATCACTGGTGGTGGCCACTTTCTGTGATCTGGAATACACTTTATTGTCTGTTTGTCTTTTCCATCGGTATAAACCATCTTTATGGTATTTCTCAGACATTTTCTTTCAAAGTTGATAAAGAATTGTGGTAATGAAAGTAGTTTCACATCTTTTAAGGCATGATTTGCATTATGCAATCAAATGAACAGCTATGTCTAACGAATCCTTGGATATCCTCTGTAATCTGAAAAGAAAGAAAATGAAAACTATTTAGTTTTCTTCTGTTTGCCCATTAAATGTGTGTTTCCTTTTGTTCTTCGATCAAAATCATTAAATGGAAATTCACAAATTTTCAGTTCAAAAATCTTACAAAATAGGTATCTTCTTACATTAACATTGTGGCAGAAATTTAATACATACCTGAAAATCACATCTTCTGAAAATCTATTTCTCTTCTTTCATAATTAATACTAGTAAATCAGTCAACTTGGTGGTAGGGGAGAAATTCAATATATTTGTACATCCAGTTATGGCAAATGCAATGTAAATAAATTTTAAGACACTTATAAAAACATTCAGTATAAAATTCATGCATCTTGTCCATTGTAAATAAAACCTATATGGACTCAGAAGTAACAAACAAATGGAAACACACATTTCTTTGGCTAAATATTTTCTTGATTACAATATAAAACATATATACCTTGGATCTTATTTATCTCTTGCTTTTGTTTGTTATAATCCTGACTGGTGACTATTATGATAAAACGCACTATCAAAATTTATAGCTGCTGAACTGTAGCTCTCTGCTTGAGAAAATTCGAAGAGATAAAGCAGAGAGTTACAGATCCATGCATTGTAAAATCTTCGATTTACACCACCGATTTTTTGGTCGCTCACTTCGGGTATTATTCTTGTATTTTGTATTTTTTCAGCCTTTAAAATACGATATTTACCATATATTTTACTTCTATTTCTGGCAAGCATATTTTCTTTGAAAGATGATTTTTCACACGATCTTCAACATGGATGTCAGAATGGAATTATTTGAACCAGAGACATGTAAAACCTGGTTTTAAACCCACAATCAGTTCTAGAACCATAAAGAGCTGTTTTGGACTGTTCAAAGGTAGATAAAGTATAAAACTGTATTAAGGAGCGTTGTGAAATACATGCTTCATAATGGGATATATCAATCTTAACCAGGTGCAGTACAATCACTAGATTTAGCTACATAGGTAGAATTACCTACGTAGCTTTATTTACCTACCTCAGGTAGCTTTATTTAGCTATTTAGCAAAATAAGTAATTCCATTGTTTGGTTAACTGTCCTCTCTATTGGGCGCGGTGAGGCATGACTGAGTATGATTACTTCACACTGTGCTGAACAATTACCGACCTATTATCGTGTTAACTGGAACTAGACTTCTTTGTAATGTCATTTCATTCAAGGAGTAACTGTTCTAACTGTCATACATAGCCCCAAAACTTTCAGAACTTTGATTGCAATTGCGCAGAAAAAGACATTTTTCCAAGAAAGATTTTTCATGAGTTGTTTTCAGATAAGTTCAAAGTTGAAAATGATCACTGCATCAAAATGATATTTTCTGCACACCCTGAGAAAAATGCTTTTTAATAGAAATAAATCAATTTTTTAGCTAAAAAAAGCTACCTCAGGTAGGTAAATTAAATCTAGTGATTGTACACTATCATTACATCAACAGTTTATTTTAGATTTCATTTCAGCACACTTATAATGTAGATGTCAAATATCCAGATGGAGGTATTGATATCATAAATATGTTTAAAAGATTTTTTTAGCTTTTGTCTAATTTTAGTGAAATGTTTTATTTCAAGTATATCAATAACAGAATTTCAGAAATGTCAGTGTCAAATGATGAGCGTCTTCTTAAGACAAGTACACACAGTGAAAATACCCCACAAAATCTAATATTAATTTTATTAGAAAAAATAATTTTCTCCTGAAAAACAATTTATGTCATTATCTTTTTAATCTGTGCATAAAACATTAAGAAAATGAGTTCTGAAGAGACAGGAAATGTATTTCAATGAATTGCATGTGGCAAATTGAATGAAGAATGTGTAAACGAAATGAAAATTCGAATTCAAAAAATATTTGGTATAAAAAGTCCACTTTCAAGACTAGGTAAATAAAGCTATGTAGGTAAATCAAATATATTAAAATCGCAAATATATAAATTAACACCAACACAGTAAATAGTGCAAGTAAATAACTAGTTTCAACATTGTACCACTAAATTGCAGACCTGTTAACATAACACCGCATGTTTCATCTATTTTTAAAGCGTTTTAAAGGTCAGGGTCATATAACAGAGGTAACAAGATTTTTGTGTAGTACGTCATATATAGCCCAAAGTGAGAGACCATGAAACAATTGCGAAAATTGAAAGTTTTTACAATACTTGGACCTGTAGCTCTCTGCTTTATTTCTCCGATTGTCCCCAAGCAGAGAGCTACAGTATTTTGCAGCTAGTGCGCTACAAAATAAACAAAAGAACTCGAATTTCCTCCACATTATACTTGACACCTCGGATCTTTTCAGTGTTCATGATATTGATCAATGAAATTATTACATGTTCTAAATAGGTTTTATAATGTAGAAAACAAACATTTAAACTAATCACATATAACTTCTGCACTGCTTCAACTTCATTTGTACATCTTTGGCCAGATGACAGTTTGAAGAATTTCAAATTTTAATTATTTTACACACGCCTTCCAAAAGCACAGAAATAAAAACTATTGTATTTCATTCACATCTACAAATTACCATCCTTACCAAATATTCTCTTTTGCTTTTAAGGAAAGGTGCTAGAACGTTTCATACAAAATGTGCCTTTCGTCATTGTGGATCCAAGTTAAACAAAATATTCATGGCGGGCATACAGAAGCGACACCTAGTGTCCTACTCGTTCTTAGTAGATTAAACTGAGAAGTTATAGAGTTTTATTCATCTTGAAGATACAAAAGGAAAGCATATAGAACCATAAAAGTTTTGCAATAGATATATTTACTGTTTATATGGAGTAAAAATTCTTTAAATATTGAATTTCTGAATGAGCGAAATATTTTATGAACGACTTAATCTTTACTAGCAACTTTCACTTTCACTTTGACCTAGGTGATTGTTGACATAGTGCATTTCAGCTGCATGTGTGCAGAAAAAGAGAAACTCGATAATTTGCCAATGCCTGATCATTACTGACATTGAAAAAGACCATTCTTTTATAGGCCCCTGATGGCTTAACTTGAAACGAAGCTGAGAGGAGATAAAAAGATGCTGACCTAAATTTAGATTTTTCGGTTGTCCTATATTTTAACTGGAGTTCTGATGGTTTTGTCACAAAACTGCAATTCAACAATGAGGGGACAATTTTTCAAAGTGTTTAGGAATATTCAAACGCGAATAGGTCACACGGCATCAACTAGAATAGAAGGGAAACGTACACAACATACCACTTGCTTGGAACAAGAAAAACTTTCCAAGTTTGAATCCAAGTCAAAGAAAACTTCAGTTTTAACAGATTTATTTGGAAGACATCATAACTATCTTAGAATTTCAATAAGTGAAAGGTGCAATCTTCGATGCCAATACTGCATGCCAGAGGAAGGGGTAGATTTAACATCGAAGGAGAGGTTACTTTCTACCAAAGAAATTATACACATTGCAGAACTGTTTATGAAGCAAGGAGTCAACAAAATTCGCTTGACAGGAGGTGAACCATTAGTACGAAAAGATCTTGTAGATATTATTCAAGGGATCAACTCCTTCAAAAATGAATATGGTCTGCAGACCATAGCAATCACAACAAATGGAGTAACCCTAGGAAAGAAATTACCTCAACTGAAGGAAGCAGGACTTAATCTAATAAATATAAGCTTAGATACCTTAATCCCAGCAAAATTTGAGTTCATTACAAGGAGAAAGGGATGGGAGCGTGTGATGAACAGTATTGATACTGCATTAGATTTGGGCTACAGTCCAGTAAAAGTGAACTGTGTAGTTATGAGAGGTGTCAATGAAGAGGAAATAGTTAACTTTGTCAATCTAACAAAAGACAAGAACGTTGATATTAGGTTCATTGAATACATGCCATTTGATGGAAACAAATGGAATTTCAAGAAGATGGTGTCTTATGCGGAAATGATTGACACTATTAAAACAAGTTACCCAGATCTCCAAAGAATGAGTGACCAGGCAAATGATACCTCCAAAGCTTACAAAGTACCAGGTTTTGAGGGACAGATAGGATTCATTACCTCCATGAGTGAGCATTTTTGTGGCTCCTGTAATAGACTCAGAGTCACAGCTGATGGAAACTTAAAGGTGTGTTTGTTTGGAAATTCCGAGGTTTCCCTGAGGGATGCTTTGCGGGGAGGGGCGGGGGAAGAGGAAATCTGGCAGGTCATCGAGGAAGCTGTCAAACGCAAGAAGAAACAACATGCAGGGATGTTGAACATTTCTAAAATGAAAAACAGGCCTATGATTTTAATAGGAGGTTGAGGATAGAGAAAAACTCCATAACATGAACTGTGAAATTGATTGTTGCCACAATTAATTCTGTGATAAACAGCTCTACAAATAGATCAATATGTTGCATTAAAAATTATATATATCTGTTAGTATATACTTGCATATAAGTCATATTTTTGGGAGCTGAATTTTTCTTCTAATCTGTATTAATCTTTGACCATTATTGTTTGCAAGAACTGGAACTATCTTAAGATTCTTTCATGCAGAAAGGAACATGTAAGGTTACCATATTCTATATATATTATTATATTTTGTTATGTATATTTATTAAATAACAATCTGAATCAATATTTAAATATCAATTAAATGTCAATGACATTCTCAGAAGAATTCCAACATACTTTAAATTGTATCAGAGGTGAATACAATAGAACTTTTATCTGATATATGAAATTGATTCTCGCAAAAATCCTTCTTACTAATGTTGTAAGTTGATTAAATTGTTGAATTCCTTTAAAAAAAATGAAAAACAATCCACTTATGAATGAGCTAGCTGACTTTTATGCAGGCATGAAACAGATAACTTATTTTTTTTTTAAATCTGTACCTTCCTTTAATTGATTAAAAAAAAAAAAAGATCTATCCAAATTAAAGTTTTAAGGTGCTGACCATATTGATTCCAGCTATCAATATAATTTCACATAGTTATAGTTGATAACAACTTTATTTTGTGACCTAATAACCTTTGTAATACTTAGCTCTGCAGCGTTATGACATTGTTTCATTTTGTAAACCACTCGCCTTGAAGGACGTAACCATGCAGAGACATATAATGTTATGTACATGTATATACTAACATTTAGTATATACATCCCTGATATACACGTGTAACTGATACTTGGTGCTGTGAAAATGTTTAATTGAATTCCATTTTTTATGAGTGAATATACGACTTTAATTTTTTCAGTATTGGCACTCTATTTAACTTGACGTGTAGAAATGTTAGATGTATATCTAAGTTTATGATTTTTTTTAATTCCCAAATAACTATTGGAGAATGATATTAATTTCTTTTACATGTTCAAGTATACGTTTTACTGCCTATGCTATATTCCATTACTTTGTGAAGTGATTGATATTTTTCTCTGTTACAATATCTACAATGGAACTTAGGCTAGTTATTAGAAGGCATGTGAAACTTTTGAGCACAGAAGACATTACAAATACAAAAAAAATACACAAGACATTGTTTGAGATACAGTGTATTAGCTTTCAAAATTAAAAATGTTGCAATTAAAATTTTGTTGTTTTTTTTTATCCTTATATGCCTTGCCTATCGCTAAACATGTTCTCTGTCATAGATTTATGATTCTGTGAAACTCATTCAGAGTGTTGAAATTTCATTTAAAATTATGTATTTACAAAGTAGTATTAATAAAGGGTGTAATGGTATTATATTAGAGAATGACTATCATCTATTTTTAAGCATTTTACTGATTAATGTAAAATTATGTATTTATGATTCAAATGATATGATTATATATCAATAATTATATGTTTGTTTACTTGTAAAATTATAAGTGATATTATGTATTTGAATTTAAAGCATTAGCCTTTTGATGTTGGGGCATTCCAAATTGTAGCACTGTAACATTATATCTGTGATGGTGAGTATATATTTTTACAATAAACAGAAAGTAGAAGTCCATTGGTGTGTGTGTTTTTTTTTCTCAAGCTGCGAGTTTTGTCACTGTATACCCCTTGCGCCAAAATTATCAGCATCCTAGTTTTAGGAGCAGTCAATTCTCAAGTATCTATAAACCTTACCTGGACCAAATTTGTATGAATGATGCATCTAGGGATGAACACTACCACTCTAATGCTAATATGTGACAAAAGATTTTTTAATAGAGTGACCAGGTATTTAGAAAGTAAACATACATTTCTTGTTTTCTGTTTGAAGCTAGGTTAACGAGATGTTTGTAAAACACTTATGCCCCCCTCCCGCAAATTGGAATTTTTATAAGTCCAAGGGGCACAACTCTGTCAAAAATGGCACAATCGTACCCAAAACAGAACTTGACCTAGATATTTATCTGATAAATCTGCATACCAAATTTCATTTCCGTATGTGCAATGGTTGTGACGAAAATGAATGGAAAGTTGGAAACTAAGTGGATTGACAAAGTAAACCTCTTGTCATGAAGATGAACTGTCTTTGAACCCCCCTCCCCTTCAATTCTATATATCTGGAACTAAAGAAAATGTTCATAGATAATCCTTAGGAAAGAAAAATTCAGATCGCTCATAAGAACAAGGTAATCACTTGTAACTAAATGTAAACTGAATGATGGCGTTGTTATTTTTTTTACAACAAAGAAGGAACTCCATGGAAATAGGATGAGAAATTCCCCAAATCATGCAGTTTTAAATATATACAGAAGATTTCAAGTTTTTCAAACATTTATTTCAACTTTGCATCAAATAATTCAACAAATTGATATAAAAATACATGTATATAAAATGCATATAATGGCTAGTTGCAACTGTCAGACCTTGAAAGATATTTTTAAAATTTTGTATGATTGCAAGACCTAAATTAAAATTTATTTTAACATAGATATGAGAGTTAATAAAAATGTACAGTATATGTATGTGATATATATATTTTTTTTAAATTAAATCAAAATTGTTTGGGAGGAACTGAGAATTTAAACTGTATTTTGTATTTTGAGTCTGGTTCTTTATTTAGTAAAGAAAGAAAGAAAGTATATTTTCATTATTATTATAGCTTAGTAGGATGGGGGTGCAACAGAAATGATCTAATAAATCTTTTTTTTTTGGGGGGGGGGGGGGGGGGCATCATTCAACAAAAAATACTGATACACAAAAAATATTAATTTAGTGGGAAGGGTGTGCAATAGAAATGATTTGATAAATCATTTTCTCTTTTTTTTTTTTTTTGCGTCATTTAACAAAATTCTGGTACATAAAAAATAATATCTATGATAATCTTCAGAATACATTCTGAATGTGGAAACTTACAGGTCACCTACTGGGGTATCCCAAATGCAGTAAACATTGTAATCTTCACTTTTAAACAAAACAATTGATATGTCAAGTCACTTTAAAACTACATTGTAATTTTGTATAATCATTATCTTTGTATGAGTGGATTAAGTAAAAAAGAAAAATTAAAGCATAATTCATTGAGTATGACTAGACAGAATGCTGAGAGTTTCAAAAATTCCCAATTCCCCATTTTCAAAAGTGAGTTATCTCCCCTCAAAATCGGAACTCTTCAACACTAGCATAACTTCCGCGGACTACATGTTACGATAATCCAACAAAATAGTGATCAACTTACACGCTGTATTTAAAAATTTTAAAAGAAGGAAACGGTTTGCATTTTTTTTAGATAATAAATTATTTTATAAAGGGTCATACCCCCCCCCCCCCCTTTTAGAAAGCTATACGAATTAGCCAGGCACCTAGCATCGTCTTTAAAAATGGGGGGGGGAACAGCCAAAGAAATATTTTATTTTTACCTGGAAAAGTTGGCAAGCAAAGAAAAACCTTGCCCAAAGTTGAAAAAGCTAATACTTTTTTCAGTACCAGTTCCTTGGCATACAATACTACATTTCCCTTATATAACTTTACTGTAGTATAAACTGAGTGTGTGTGTGGGGGTGGGGGGGGGGGGTTGACAACCTGTCTATCAATGAACAATTTCAATATGAAAAATAATATTGGGAAAAAAGTGGGGGTTGGGCTAAAACCCTTGTCTGCACCCCCCCCCCCTCCGTGCGTACAGGTACAGAGAATATGTAAATGGGTTGAACAGTTGAAAATGAACCAAAGTTGTGAAAATTAATATTATTATTAGAATTTTTAATTGTGAATTCAATAAAATTACGGTACATCTATTTTTTCACAGATGTACATGTATGTCAGTTACACGGAGTCTCTCTCTCTCTCTCTCTCTCTGATATTGTTTATTTACACACTTTGCCAAAAAAGAATAACTTATAAAAATAAATACATGTACTTACACTGAAAGGATTTTAAAAAAATAAATAACACTTGAGAGAAGATTGTTTTCAGTTAATTAACGAGAAATACGCTAGGAAATTATTGTATCAATTTCGTATTTCTGCTCTCAATTCTCTGATCTAAAACAAAATGTGTATTTTACTCGGGAATATACATGTACATATGCTTAGATCCTACACTAAAACTTTGATTAAATGCAGCTCAGACTTTATACGACATATGTAACATGAATTCAGGTCGATGCTATTTTAATTAGTCTTTCTTCGTTACATGAGCACATGAGATTAAATTATTCATTTAGAATTCCATTCAAAGTTTTAATACTAAATAGTGAATCAATTATTTTACAAATAGAAATTCAAATGAAATAGGCCTTTAATTGTCACCAAATGTGTTCTTGTAAGTAAAAGTTCTATGTTATGACATACAATCAGAAAAACGCAGTTTCTTGGTATCGGTAGCGGAAGACGAACTACTGCTGTATATGCAGCAATTTCAGAGGTAAAACTGTAGATGGACATGTCATCAGTCTTCAAAAAATTCCTAGAGATACAATGAAAATATGGCTGCAGCAGGCTAGATTAATTCGTAAAAACTTTATAACTAAAAATTTGTTCCGCACATTTTGTAAATAATGATGATCCGTCTGCAGAACATCCACTACCGAAAATTAGCTTTTTTGTTTGTGTTTTTTACGGAAGCCCGTTGGTGCCACGTACGAAAAATATTTTATCTGGCGGCCGCCACTTATTATTTGGCGGCCGCCACGGCCGTTTCTGGCGGCCGCCAGATAATTATGTGGCGGTCGCCACTTATATATCTGGCGGCCGCCACTTAATATATGGCGGCCGCCACATAATTTTTATGGCGGCCGCCATATAATTTATCTGGCGGCCGCTATATAACATCTGGCGGCCGCCAAATATTTTTCTGGCGGCCGCTATATAATATGTGGCGGCCGCCACTTATTGTTTGGCGGCCGCCACATAATTTATCTGGCGGCTGCTATATAACATCTGGCGGCCGCCACTTATTATTTGGCGGCCGCCACATAATTTATCTGGCGGCCGCCAAATATTTATCCGGCGGCCGCCACATTATTTATCTGGCGGTCGCTATATAACATCTGGCGGCTGCCACTTATTATTTGGCGGCCGCCACATAATTTATATGGCGGCCGCCAGGTAACACCTGGCTTCCTGATGCACGCGCATGTTTTAATGTGTGGTTATAGGTGGATAAAGTGTAAAAATTATAATAGCAACATCAATCAACCAAACTTTTAAGAGATTTATTATGAACCAACACTCCAATCCACACTTCTAGTAGATATGTTTTTGCATTGAGCAGATTAATATTGGATTTAAATTATGCAAGTATTTCGATTATTAAGAAGCCTCATCAGGGGTCACGGACATAAAACATGGTGTTTGCTGTAAGCTATGATTGGTTGAGAATAAAATAAAGTTTTGCATTTTGGATTTCCAAGAATGGTGTTTTAATATTTCAGAATTCGTTTTCTATCATTTACTTTTTTATCAATAAGCAGCGGTTGTGTCACCATCCATCTTCTTAACCAAATAACACTCACCTTTTGCAAAATAATTTATGTGGCGGCCTCCAGATATATATGTGGCGGTCGCCAAATAATAAGTGGCGGCCGCCAGATATATAAGTGGCGGCCGCCAAATAATAAGTAGCGGCCGCCAGATATATAAGTGGCGGCCGCCAAATAATAAGTAGCGGCCGCCAGATATATATGTGGCGGCCGCCAGATAAAATATTTTTTGTACGTGGCACCAACGGGCTTCCGTAGTTTTTTTTTAATAGGGCTATTCGAATATGTATCAGCATTTTAATAGTAATTTGTTTCTTTTTTGTTTGTAAGGGGGGGGGGGGGGTCACACAGCACCTTATTATAGTACTACACAGATTAATACAAATCCAGAAAGAGACTATGAGTGGGCAATTTAAAAAAAATACGAATCAGTTAAGATTTCTTTTTATTCACAAACACAATAACATTTTTCCATATGACAGAGGCATACACCATGAACATGTTTACATCAAGAACGTCCGCGGAAGTGACTTTATTTATAGCGCATGCGTATTAAACACAGTAAAAGAGTTCCCTTCAGGGGAAATAACTCACCTTTTGAAAATGGGGAATAAAGGGAAGTGACTTAGTTACAGATATTTCAGTTTATCACGTCTACTTCTACATATCTTTAAAAACTCATTTGTAACAAAAGATAGAAGCTATTGATATCAAAATATCTTGATCATTCATACTTGGTTAAATGTATGCAGAATATATGACATAAAACAGCTGTAAAAATGTGAGAATGAACAGTGAAAGATGACATTATACATATTTGTAAAATGAAAGATAAATTGCCAAAGAAATTCTTGAAGAATTTTAAGGTACAGAAAATTCAGATTAAACTGAAGGCAGAATATTTCTTAAAGATGAATTCAGCCTTTTTAAAATAAGATTACCGGTAATCAATTTTAAATGTATATTTCAGATGGATGAATGCCCAAAGAAGTTTGTTGGCAAATGAGAATATGGAGCTAAATAGTACTTTGGTTATTATTTGTTATTATCAATGCTGTTGTTCATCCATTTTCACCCTTATTTATATGTTAAGTTAAAAGTGTAACATATTTGAAATAAACAAACTATGCTATAAATATGATAAAAATACACAATTATCAAGGAGCTTGTTCAGATTGTTCATGCTTGTTCCTCTTAGAATGTAAAAAAAGTATAATGGCAAGAATTGGTTGAAGTTTTATGATAGTGTGGAACATCTGTGTTACAAAAAATAATTATATGTGAACTGACTTTGTATTATTTAGCTTATCATAAAATTGAAACTACTTTAACATTACTCTTAATTTATGATAAATGAAAAATAATTCTTAAATTAACACAGCCAGTGTGTTTCAGGGGAATGTATAATCAAGGATTACATTATAACACAAAAAGAGAACATGACAACTTATGATTAAAAATGACAACCTGATTATGGACTACATTTGGAGATTCCTGACCACTAATGTAAACAGAGTCTGTCAATGAAATCGGTACTTCCTTGCAGGTTTAAGATTTATAAATGTCTTTTTCATTTCCTCTGTCTCGTCCTTTTTAATCTCAGTAAATCTCTCTCCCTTAGTGCTCACAACACGGCCGTCTAGGTAACGTACCATCTTCTTGGGTTCCTATGAAAACAGAGGAATACAGATTTATTATATCATTTTTTTTTATCAAAATTCTTTAAATTTCAGCTGTATTAAAACTGCCTCAAAAAATTTACCAGTATAAAAAAAGAAAGGTCTTTTCACAAGAAATTTATCTGTGAAATACAAATGCAAAAGCCCCACCCACTCAAAAGTTATGGGTAAGGTTTAAGTTTTTGTTGATAAACAGATAAACAGACAGATGGACAGGACAAAAACTATATACCCCTGAATCCTTGATTACGGGCACATAAAAAGGCACCAAAATGTGTTCAACATTCTGTTAAGTCCTGACCATTTCTTATTTTTGAACAGAAAAGCAAGAATTGATCAATCCAGACTAAATCTAATTCATATTTACAATGAAAGATCTGAAGAAGTGATGACAATACAATGTACCTGTTTAGGGGGTGGGGGTTTAAAAGTTCTCTTGTCTTCATCAGCATCCTGATACCCATACCTAAAATTATATTGTACTGATCATCTCTATTGAAAATCAGTTCTATTTACATTTAAAAAATAATACATCCTGATATCAAAGGATGTCTTCCTGAGGTGAAAACATACACTGAATATAATTCATACACTTAGAATTACAGTGAAACTACAATAACATCATTTTGTAATGTCTGCCAATTTTATCAGATTTATACAGAGGATAATCTTTGCTTTTCAAGAAGATTTCCAGCTGATAATGAAACAAAGCTTGTGTTGAAACTTATGCAATATTTAGCATTGAAGATTAAATGTTACACACAACAATTACATGTACCCTTCATACCTCTCTATCATCTGCTTTTTCAGCTTTTTGTCATCTAACAGCATCAATCCATTCCTAGTGGTAGATTTAGTTTTTTCCTAAATGCAAATTAATCAATTATTTTTTTTAACATTAAAGTACTAATATTCTCTATAAAACTAATCACAAGAACAAAGAATTTAGGCAATATTGCATTAAAAAAAGTGCTACATGTACATGTATACCAAAGGCACTTGACGTTTTTAACTTTTCTTTTCATAAATGAAAGAAAGGTTAAATTTATGAAAAGAAAGGTTAAAAACGTCAAATGCCTGTCATGTATACACTCGTTTGAGTCAGTTTATCTGTACAATCATGTGAAAAAAATTAATAGGAGTCGTTAACATTTTCTGAATCTGACCTTTGGTTCCATGATACTGGTTCCCGTCTCTTCTCTCTCCAGAACCAGCTGAGCAGCAGACTCTAGATCTCCCTTAGCAACCCCCAAACAATGGGTTATCTCCAGTGTACAGGAGTTAGGGAACATCTCCAGGAGCATCTTAACATCTTCGTCTGGTTCTTCATCCACCTAAAACCATCCGAGTAAATTTAAACCTTTAGTCTAAATAACATCATTTTGTTTACCAAAAATATCTTCCTTGCAGAGACTTGTAAAAATCATTGTCCTCTGTCTTCATGTTAATAATTTTAAAAGAAAAATTCAAAGTATGACCAACTATATAAAACTTTTTGCTTTCTCAACTCTGTATAACCATATGAAAAATGTCATATTTCTGTCATCTTATTAAAGCTGAATAACATAAGTTGGTTTTGAAACAGCACATGTATTTCAAGTTATTTCAAGTTAAAAATATATAGATATTGAGATAAATGAAGATAACAATTGATCTGTTAAATGTGATGCATTCTCTTACAATATTCCCATTCACTTCATTTGGTGTGGTTTCTTCCTTTGATATTTGATTGCTTGGATTATCTCCCTTACAACTGAATGCCACAGCATTTTCATTTACATCTAAAATGAATAAAATTACAGTCAACAGCAAGTCTTCACAGAAAAAGCTTATGCCAAATATATATTATGAATCCTAGATTCCCACTGTTAGAAAAAAATTTATTATGCAAATTTATGCAAACTTAATTTTAAAAAGTTTTTCAACATTCATAAAAAAGATCGTTTTTCAAATTATACCCCCAAAGGTTTTTCTTTTTAAAGATATCTTCAAAAGTTAAAAAATTTTTTGTTAGATATAAAATAATCCTTTGTTTATAAAAGCTGCTAAACATGCTAAAATATCTTAAAATTAAAAAGAAAAGTTTTGAATTCAAACATTCAGAGGGATAAAATAATTTTGGTGTATGCTCTTTAATTCATTAACAGAGAAAATATATAGGTAAGAAATTTACACCTACCTTGATCGTCACTTGTAATAGTGTTAGAAAGTTCAAACATCCACTCACAAACTTTAACACTGAAAAAAGGAAAATCAAAACAATGATATAAGAGAATCCCTGTACAATACAAATACACAGTACCATATAATCCCTTTTAACCGCCCCGGTCGCTTAGAAAATTGTGAAAAGGGGGTGGTTATTTTAGAATTATCTTTATAATATTTAATGTCATATTTTAACTTCAAAAAAAACTTTTGAAAAAAAAAAATAATAAATACAAAGTAGCACTAAAATAATGTCTAACTTTTACTTTAAGGGGTGGTTTTTTTGGTGCTATTTTGACGTCATAATCAATCTCTTTATAATATTTAATGTCATAATTTCATATGAAAAGTAAACTTCAAATTTGATAATTTAAACCATGAAAATACTAATTACCGTTTTCTGAAGACTGTAGGCAAAAATCTGGATACATTTCCTTTGCCGAATACGAAAAAAACTCCCATATTCATGACTGGTTTTCTTAATTTTTCATTGAAAATGAAAGTTTAAAATTCAGTTTTTCATTTTGTTTATCAACAAATTATGCCCCGAAACACGTTATTTGACCAAGCTTAAGTTGTAAAGCATTAATAAAGGAATTTATTACTCAAGTTTGATAAATCTGTAGGCACCTTTCATTTACTAGATCTTGACCTTAAGTGAAGATAATCTACCCAAATTATGCTAAGTAATTCATTTTCCACCGAGAAATTGAATAATAAACAAGTTTCATTTTCACTTTCTTCAAATATTGGCAGACTTTTGATATGATTCTAGATGATTTTAATCACTGTACAGGGGGCGCTTATAGGGACAGGGGTGGTTAATAGAGATTATACAGTATCTTTTTTTCTGGATATACTTTTCTGTCATCTTGATACAAGTTTAGGCCTACAGTTAAACTTTTTAATCATGAAAGAAGAAACCTGTTATCATGAGTTTCTTGTTTTTTCACCTTGTATTTTCTTGTATTTGTATTTGCCTTCAACTTAAAATCCTACTACATTTATAAATAGCAGGGTTGTCCCTAGGATCCTGGAGCTAAGGAATTTCCACTCCTATAATGATATTATCCCCCAGTTATTTTGGTATTCCTCCTTAACTCCCCATTAGCATAGGAACCCACGATCCACTTCTACTTTTTAAATGTTACTTCTATTTCAGTTCTTGGGGATAACCCTGACATTAGCATCATACACTCAAGTTAGGATTGATGCAAATGTTTACTGCTTATTTATTACTTATAATACATACATCAAATGAATGCCCCACTTAGAATTCATATATATGCTAAGCCAAAACTTAGATAAAAGTATGATTCTTACAAAATTACAAATACATGCATGATGTATCTTATCTCTTAGCATGAATTATATACCATACTCTAGAATCAATTTTTCTTTTTTTTTTCAACTAAACAAAATAAATTCAGGTAATTGGGTTTATACATGTATATCCTAAATAAATTGAGTTACCTATCAATAGTGCCAAATCCTGGAATGTACGCCTCCATCATCTCAATAAACTGGTCCACGTCAATATTCTCCTCTGCATTGCTGTCGTCTCCCAGATCCTCCAGAATACTGATGACATAATTCAAAACTATCTCATCTATATCTCTGAAAAAATGAAGAAAGTACACCTTTAACATTTGTAATAATTTTGAAATCATAGTTTCTTTATTGTTAATTTAAAGTGACACTAGTCTAGTATTAATTAGATTAGAATATTTGAACAAGTTAAACTGATATTTAAAAAGTGTCTCCTCAAGAGGAATTTATTAGCCTGCTTTGCTAATAGCAAAGTCCTGGCTCTAGGCATCATGATCAACTGTCTTACTATAAATAGCACAGTAAACAAATACGAAACAGAGTCAAAGCAGACACTTCCGATAAACAAAATAGTTCCATTGCGAGACGATATACAAACAAATATTTTTAACATCCCAATCCTTGGAAAAGTTAATGATCGATATTTTTGCTTGAGAATTAAACTGAAAGAGAAATTAGATATTTGCTTTATTGGAATAATCATGAAATAAACGAACTATTTTCAATAGCACGGGTTTTTCGAAATATTGAAATTGTGGAAGAGTGTCATGTTTCATATTGTTTTCATCAATGTTATGATAGTGATTATATTCCGTTTTGATTTTAAGCAAATTAATAGTATAGTAAATTGAAATTTTAAGAATTAACATGAGTGAAGTCGCTTGACAATGTACATGTATCAGTGTTTCTTCATGTAGTTGGCGATAAAAGTACTGTTTGTTTGAAACCATAACATATCTTGGGGTCTGGACTGTTAATTTTAATTACTAGTACATATACAGGATATTGTTTTAAATCATAATTATACAAACTCTACCTGTTAAAAATCAATGGCCAAACAGAAAAAAATTAAATACGTACTAATTCCACATCAGACAATAAACTCGAGCAATTAAAGCCTGGCTCTCAATTCTTTCAATACTTTGATAATTAATTGTTTTGTCTTTTCATTCATTAAACAATACCGAGTTTAATCTATAAAAAACCCATTTTCTCACTTTTCACAAAGAAATTTTTAAGCCTAATACTGTATATCCATTTTTTTTCGCGTGTTGGAAATTTTGCGAAAAGGGGGTAGATTAGTACAGTTTTTATTTTGTGTAAGTTATTTTTTACGATTTAAGATTTTTTTGTTTAAAATGGTAATGTTTTTATGTCACATTATAACTGACATAATTTTTGCATGTTTTATATTTTGCGAATTAAAAATGGTCGCAAAAATTACGAAAAATAGATCGTCGCCAAAAAAAACCGGATATACGGTAGTTTACCCAATGCCATCCTCCAGTGCATGACTCTGTAGAAATTTTCCGAGTTCTCCTTTGACTACCAATTCCTTTCCTGGAGTAGCCATCCAAACAATGCCTACAAGAATAGAAAGGAATTCTGTAAAAACAGGCACTGATGACAACTGTCTTAGTCAAAACTAGTATTAAAAGAAGATAAATTTACTTGTGCCTTCTCATTACATGTTGATGATCTATTTATGTCTTTACATTTATTACTTTAGAACCATGCAGACTCTATATTGAATACCATGTACATACACTTGTGAGAAACTTCCAAATTTCAACCTCACCACCATGTTGATTTTCAGCTTTTACTTTTTTTGTAGAAAGAAAAAAATCTTGCATCTTCTTATTTTTGTGTTTCTATTGCAGCAAATATTGGTAGGACTAAGGTGATAAATTTCTACAGAAAATATTTTGCAGTATCCATCTTATCTCTTGCAAAACCAGTCCCAGTTCATAGAGTATGCTATTGCATGTTCAAGATATCATTTAATCTGATACAAAAATTAGGTATTTTTGAGGAACATAATCTAATGGTAAAAGTCAATCAATGGCAAAAAATGCCTTATAAATGAGAGTAATTAAAAAGCAAAAGAATAAAATTTTACTTTTACTTAGAAAATTTCAATCATTTATCAAAAATATTCCCAAGACTTTTGTCAAAGGAACTTTGCTTCAAAATATACTAATATATTTTTTTGATGTGCACGCACAAATCATTTAAAATAATAATCCCATTTAGGCTACTATATTCGAAAATGAAGTACATGTATTATGATGTATATCCCACATTGTCCCATTTGAGGGATAAGTCAGGTCAAGTACAATCACTAGATTTAGCTACAAAGGTAGAATTACCTACGTAGCTTAATTTACCTATCTCAGGTAGCTTTGTTTAGCTATTTCAATGCAACTTTTCAATTTTTTTCTTTTTATTAAAAAGAGACAAAAAATCGCAATTAAATGACTATTAATCATGTTAATACTTATATTAGGGAGGTTTAAAAAAAACAATCCAAAGCAGAGATACTTTATACATTGCTGCATTTGGACAATTTAGAGCAAAACATGCAATTCCATTTTTTGGGTAACTGTCCTCTCTCTTACGTGCAGTGAGGCATGACTGAGTATTTTTGCTTCACAATGTGCTGAATAATTACCGACCTATTATCATGTTAACCGGAACTGAACTTCTTTGTCATTTCATTCAAGGAATAAGTGTTCTAACTGTCATACATAGCCCCAAAACTTTCAGAACTTTGATTGCAATTGCGCAGAAAAAGACATTTCTTCAAGAGTGATTTTTTCATGAATTGTTTTAGATGAGTTCAAAGTTAAAAATGATCAATGCATCAAAATGAAATTTTCTGCACACCCTGAGAAAAATGTTTTTTTTTTTAATAAAAAAAATTGATTTGGTAGCTAAATAAAGCTACCTCAGGTAAGTAAATAAAGCTAAGTAGATAAATCAAGCTACATAGCTAAATCTAGTGATTGTACCAGACCTGTTAGTCCCAACCTTTTTTTTTTTTTTAGTTTTTACATGTTTTAGGCTCCAGCACGCTACGACCACCATGCAAATATTCTTTTCTCTGCTGATGAATTTATGCATTAAATTAAATGTTGTATTTTTGCACAGAGAAAAAAATATTTCTTAAGATTTTATATTTGCAAGTATTTTACCCTTGTATAAATTGATGTGATTTTGTTCGTAGGCCTTCAAAATTAACAGCTTTGTTTACACGGGAACACTATTGAAAGGTTCTAACATTGAGACTAACAACAGTCAACTTCTTAAAATCCGGATAAAACCTGGCAATTTTTTTTTAACTCACAGATTAGTAAAAGGGTTCAATGAAATATACGTATATTTTTAAAAAATTTTTTCTTTCAGAATTTAATATTAAATTTTTTTTTGGACATTTTTGAATCAACTGATTAAAGGTTTTGAACGTTATGCAATCCGACAAACATTCGAAAGATTTCGACACTGTGAAGCGTCTCCCTGAAGAGTAGGAGAAGTTCAAGTTGGTAGGCGGAGAAAATGGGTTCTAAGGTAGCACTCAGGGTCCAGGGCCAACTTCTGTCAATTTTACAGAAGGGAAAGTAAGTAAATAAATCAATTCACTTAAAGTGAAGTTTAGTTTCTTTGATGTAGCAAGAAATTAATGAGAGTACTTGCTGACCTTGCAATTCATTCAATGATAATTAACTGACCTTCAAAGAAATTTGATACTTAATAACATAAGACATTTACCGATTATAAATTCTATTTTTAGCTGGCCTGTTAGAAAAAAAGCGTTTTTGCTGAATTTGTTTTTGTCAGTCATAATTGCTGATCAGCTGTTTGTCTTTCCAATTATGTATTATGTTCCTCTTGAAAATTAAAGTACAGGAAATAATCCTTAAGATTCCATTAAATACATAAGACTATACTATGAAAGAAATGAATTAATTACTGGGGACAAAAAAATATAGCTTTATCGACAGGAGTGGATTTTAAATCTTAATTGTAGGTGAGAAATATGGCAGATGTGGAATTGACTTGAATTTCAATTACCTACTTTGTTCGTGAAAGTTTATGTTTTCACTTGTTCACAGATTTGGTCAGCCAATGGTATGTGCCTTCCACACCTCTGCAGTGACATCAAAACATGGGAAGATACCAACTCTAAAGAAAGATCTCATCAACCATTCTAGGGTCAGGGGGATTGATATTATTCGAACTCCCAAACTGAACAAGGTTTGTATAAATGCCAGTTCAACATTTTGTATATATTTCAGTGTATTTAAGACTTTTATCAGTTTTAATGAAACTGTGAAAGACAAGGCTGTTTTATTCAGTATTCACACACCTGGAAATTTTGACTGATCCATTTAATGAAGATATTTAGTCCTAAATGTCTGGGCAAGCTGTCAACCAAGATTAATGAGATGATCGTATGGTCTTTTTTAATTTAGATATATATATATGAATTATTTTCATATGAATTGTTAAAAAATTATCATATTCCTGAATGAATTCTCAGTAAATTAAATATGTTGCAATTTACCAGCTATTATTTCTTTTCTATGTATCAACATTTTATTTTTTGAAAGGGTCAAGCATTCACCTTAGAAGAGCGACAGTTGATGGGAATACATGGCTTGATCCCAGCAGCCATCATCTCTCAGGACCAACAGATGGAGCGAGTAATGGTCAACTTCCGCTCTCGTGCCACGGACGTGGACCGCTACATCTTTCTCAATGCCCTGGCTGAGCGAAACGAGAGGCTGTTTTACCGCTGCCTTGTGGAACACACAGATATAATGATGCCCATTGTTTACACTCCTACTGTAGGAAAAGCCTGCCAACTGTATGGCACTATCTACAGAAAACCCAGGTGGGTACAGTTAGATGAATACTAGCTTTCTTCTTATGGTTTTAAAAATTGTTCAAAAACTACATTTATTCTGTGAATGAAAATATGTAATGTACTAGAAATTTGAGGAATATCTATGCAGTACTGAGTAAGATTTCGTTTACTGGTATATCTGGTATTGCATGTACTTTGTATACATACACAATACTTTTAACATATGTTTAACAGTCATGAAGCAAATAGTAATTAATTAGTAAAACAGTATCACACTGATGTAAGCAAAGCATTGTTACATTGTATCTCCGTCCGTATTTCTTGTTTCTTGGTACTGGTTTTAATAATAAAAAGTAAATGTGGCAATTCATTTTTGTATCGCAATATACACTGAAAATATTTACAGTTTTTACATAAAAGTGTATATGCAGTATAGCAATTACTTATAAAATGTTGTACTTGTATATGTATTCAAGACAATCCATATATTATTTGAGCCGTTCCAAGCAAAAACCCCCCTTATGGCAAAAATTTTCGAAAATGACTTTTTTCTTGAAAAATGATGTAGAGCCTTAGGTGAATATAACCTGTAAATATTACAGGTGTATCTTGCTCCGTTACGGATTTACAGGTATTCAAAGAATGCATCATTTATACGGCTGACGTCAAGTTTTATAAATTTTTTTCTTGTAGCGACGTCGACGTTAAATATAGCAACGTAATAAAAACACGAACTACTTATACGCAATAACTTCGTATTGTGTTGCCGTTCTGACTATTGCTTAACTTCTTGTAAACATTTTTTTTTGTTTTTTCTTAAAAAAAAACGTTCAGTTCGTTCTTTTCTGATATTAATTATTTAAAAATATTTTAATGGAGTTCAAATAGTCCTGTTATTCGCTGAATTCATCACACATAATTGATAGGTCTTTTATTAAGAAAAATTCACTTTCAATTTTACTGCTTAAGTTCAGCCGAAATCTTTTAAAACCAGCAACAACAACAAAAATATTTTATATCCCATTAATTTATTTTTTATAACCGATTCTACATGTACTTGTTCAACCTTTGCCTTCAAAACATTGACTAAGAGAAGCATTAAGGGGCAGGGGCTTGCGCTTTCATCAATGAACACAACATAAGGATTTTGTAAAGTATGGTTTATCAATGTACAATGATGAGTACCATTTATCCTTTTTTAAATGCTCAACTACATTTGCATTTTCTTTGCTTAATTATTTCCTGATTTGTTAAAAATATAAGAAAGAAAAGGGGAGGGGGCAATGAAAGAATAAATATATAAGTACTAGTATAAAGGCAATGTAGACTCGATATACATGTATACATGTACATGTTAAATCTGTAATTGATGAATAGTTAATGTGTTCTTTCCAGATTTCAAATTATGAAATAACTAATAAAAACAAGACCTGAAAAACTGAGAAAAAGGGTAAGGCATATGATTAAGCTTTTTAAAGAATTGTATATTTTCTACAGTACAATTGATATATATATATATATATATATATATATATATATATATATATATATATATATATATATATATATATATATATATATATATATATATATATATATAGAAGATTGCCAAACATACAGCCCCATCTATATCTAACAACAAAATTATGAGAGTCGTTCCTCTCATGCTTTACGCATAGATCTATGAAATTGAAAGTTATACTTTCTCAATATGCGATCCGATCTTAATTTTAAAAACACATGCATGTCACAGTTTCAAAAAAGGTTGTTATGAGGCAAGTTTCACAGGTCACCACTTATATATCATGAAGGTCCTCTGAATATGTACCAGTTTGTCAAAATCGAAAAAAAAAATAGAGACAAAGAAAAACGTAATTCAGGGGTCTACTAGTATTTAGAGCAGCTTGTCCTTGAACCATATAGACACAAATCTACAACATTTGATTACCGTCTTCATAGAAAAAAAAACATAAAGAATTTTATAGAAAAGAGAACATGTTTTAGGTGCGAAATCTGCATATTGGACTGTCTTTAAATAAAATGCTTGTCATATATTAGTAAAATATATTCTATCCCAGTCTACCCAACATTTTACACACATACACAGAAGTTCCATTGTGTGCAGAAGGGGGAGGAATGCTGGCCATTATCTGTCACTACATAAACATCAAATATTCGAATATCTGACCTTCCTTACCAACTTACAAGAAGTCCATGTGCTCTGAAAGTGAAGGGGGGTGTTGAGTAGGTTACTTTTGTTAGTCTTCTAGTTAAGTTTACATGGAGACCGGTCCTTCGGATGAGCCTGTATAAACCGTGGCCCCGTGTGGCAGTGAGTGCTGGCACGAAAAAGATCCCTCACTGCTCAATGGCCCTGAATGCTTGTTACATGTATAGGACAATATTTGCAGCTCTCCACCGGCAAGTGGTGGCGTCTCCATATGAGTTCTGAAAAATCTGGAGATACAACATACAAACATTCAATCTATTTTAATCTAAATATTGAGAAAGGGTCATCACCTTTAGTTTCACTGCTAAGGATAAAAGATGACAATTTATCTAGAAACCTTTTTTATGCAAGATATTTCCGACTTTTGTGTTTAACATTTGTAGCGAACTTGTACTGCCTCGCTATATTGAGATAGCTTTTCTGGTGATGTGGTAGTCTCGCTCTATCTCAGGCAAGTTAAGCAACGGTGAGCCTGTTTAACCCTTGGATGGGTGACCGCTCAATGCATACTTCGTGGTACCAACATCATTAATGGCTTTTTTTTTCACACATATCTTTCATTAAGCACTTCAAACTGAAATTCTGTATCATTACAGACGTTGTTTAGGGATAATAAATTGAACAGCAAATTTAAAATTGCATTTTTATACAACGAGTTCCATCATTTTATTTTCTCCTGAGGGAATCTCAACCCCTTCTCAACTTCACTATTATTTCTCATTTTATTTTTTTCACATTTTCCTCTACAATGTCAAAGATTTGTCTTGGTACAGGTCCACTTAAAATGATAACGCTTTAATATTTTCCCGTGCACATACGTTAAAAAACATGTCAGAACGTTTTTTAAATCATTCGACAAAAGTGTTTATAATATATGATAAATACTCATAGCTCTCTGATTTTCCAATATCTAGCATTGTGGAAAAAAAGGTTATGTTCACCTGCATGTGATCTTCCTGGTGAAAATTACGAATATTACTTCTTGCAATGTTAGACGAAATGTAGATAGGGAAAATCCAAACTGATTAAGATATTTTGGAAATGTATTTTATTTGCATTAGATTTACACTCAGGTGAACAAATACTAGTATTGTGATTATATATACAATCATGCACATAAAAAAAAATCAATTCCGGGGGTAGCATGGGGCCCCTGTCCACATTTTTTCCGAATGTATATTTTCACTGTTAATATTAGCATGTATAAATGATGCCCGGGGGGGGGGGGGGTTGGTGGTGGTGATGGTTGGGGGTGGGGGAGGGTTACAACAGTATTAACAAGTAATCGATCTTTTCAACACATTACAAAAGGGAGAATATCGGATAAACGTCTATTCTATTAATGTTGCTTTGTTAGCTAAACTAGTGTCACTTTTCGTCCAAGAGGTTCTGGGTCTACAGTAAATAAAAAAAAAATACCCCGGATTTTAATTAGATCTGGTATTGGTGTGGTTTAACAATTCTGTCATTCATTTTGATTGGTGTTAATTCCTGTGCCTTTTTCTTGACATGTGATTAAGTCCAATCAATTTTCGCCAAAACTTCGGATTAAAAAACAAGATTTCAAACTACTCCTCCTTACTTTTAAAAAAATATTTTTACACTCAATATCACCATTGCACGTCCACGTAATTATTATTTTTTTGGTCGTTGTTGAATAAGAAAGTCATAAATCTGAATTTTAAACAACAGTTTCATGTTTAATTTAGTTTAACAGAAAATTTTTATTGTACATGGAACAGAATAATCGTCGAAGTGTTGACAAATTATATGTATTTTATCAGGATATTCTTAGGTCGTTTTAATGTGTAATGCATATGTAGTTTGACAACAATCAGAGTCAGATATGTTATGAAATAGATAAAGTCATGAAAAAAATATGCAGAAAGCACAACGGAGAAAATTATGTGACGTGAAGCAAAGCAAGAAGTTGGAAAGCAGTCAGTGCGCGATATATTTTGATCGCAGTTTTTGTTGCAAAACTATGACGTCGCTTTTTCTACTGTGACGTAAAATTCTGTCAGATTACATAAGGGGGGTTATTGCTTGGAACGGCTCATTTCAATAAAGATTACTAAATCTTTCTGTTATTAAACAGCATGTAAGACCAAAAAGAAGTTGATTTCAAAACTTTTACCAAAAAAAGATGATATGCAATTTATATGCAGTAAAACATTTTTGTACTAAATCCACAATGTGTACAATTTGTAAAAAACTACATCGTCATCCACTGTGAATAACTATGAATTGGTGATCTTGATATTTATAATGATTGATTATGTCCACTGTGTATAACTGTGGATTGGTTTTCTGGCTATTGTTTGATAATCCTTTCTTTCAGAGGTCTGTTTCTGTCCATTAATGATAGAGGACATCTCTATGAGATGATTTGCAATTGGCCTGAGCTTGATGTTAAGGCAAGAACAAAACTTTCATCCATTCATCTTTAATATGATCACATCTAATGACACATTTACACTAAGAGAAAGAGAGAGAAAAAAGAGAGAGAGGTTTATTTTGGTATTGAAGGTCAATGAGATAATTAAAATTAATGCTGCTTTAACACACTTGTCACAGGCCTTTTATTGATAGACTAAGTGTGAATTAGAAGTACAAGTATCTTGTTAGCTCATATAGCTCTTGTTAGCTGAGTTTTTCTGATCAACATTTGTCCATCATCTGTCATGTGTTAACTTTTCACATCTTCTAGAAAACAAATGGCCAGAAGTAGCCAAATTGTTTATCACCCCATTATTGCATGTTGATGCACATTTGTTCTAATAAAATTTGGGGTATAATCAGGTAACAGGAAATTGGAAGATGTGTGAATGGACCCGGAATCAAACCAGGCACCCCTGCAGCACTAGTCAGGTGCTCTACTGACTGAGCTATCAAGGTCAATATTAATGTCCCAGACCATTACACTGGCAAGAACTGGATCATATCTGGGGATTAAAATTTTATATACTGTAAATTAAAGCTTCATAAGTTTGTCCATAAGGGCTTTTGTTTATCTACATATACATGTTCATTAGTAGGGAAGAGAAGATTGATTCACGTGAGCTTTGTGGACCTTTGGTCTTTTGTTGATATAATCAATTCCTTTGTTGATATTTCACTTCCTTTATTTATTTTCTTAACTTTCTGAGCATAACTTCATTTCTTGGAAATGAACCATAGTAAATTAATTAAATCATAGATAATACTGAAAAACATATTCCCTATCCATATCACTGATAGATGTCAGATTTCATTTTACACCTTTGTTTTCCTCTTTGATGTGTTTAAAATTGATTGTCTTCATTTGTAAATACAATACAATCCTGAAATCGAATGACTACTTTACTACGTCACATACATTTAATGTTTCTGGACATCAATGAAATTCAATGCCCAACAGATTTAATTTGGCTTGGCATATGCTTATAAAACTGTCTATATACTTCATTACATGTATGATTTATATGATGCTGATTTTAAACAAGGTGGGTTTATCTTGCAGGCAGTTGTGGCTACAGACGGGGAGAGGATCTTAGGTTTGGGTGACCTTGGGGCCTATGGGATGGGAATTCCTGTGGGTAAACTGGCCCTCTATACCGCCCTCGGGGGCATTCCTCCAGAGCAGCTCCTACCTGTTATGTTGGATGTGGGTACAAATAATGAGGTATTGCTTTGTTTTTTGTTTTTTTTTTCTACTACTGCAGTTTTTTTTGCATATATGTATACTGCAGACAGCTTTTACAGTACGTTTAATATACAGTATGGTATGGCTTTTTTGAAGTCGTTTTATTCAAGAAATGTAATTTTTCAGGCTTTGTTGAATGACCCACTGTACATTGGATTGCGTCAGAAGAGAGCTACTGGTCAAGTTTACGATGATTTTATTGATGAATTTATGGAGGCAGTAAGAAAAAGGTACTTTAGAAGATTTAAAATGAATAGAAATATTGTCGTCTTTCAATGTACTAATCACAGACTATTTAAGTGTTTACTATTAACTGTCTGTATTTATCTAGGTATGGCCAAGATACACTTGTCCAATTTGAAGACTTTGGGAACCACAATGCTTTCAGATTCCTGGAGAAATACAGAGACAAGTTCTGCATGTTTAATGATGATATCCAAGGTACTGAGTCATATTAAAAGCAAGAAAAAGTGTCAAATATTTTAAACTTTCAGTTGTTTAATAAGGCATTTCTACATGACACAAGGTGTACCATTTGCGTCCCTTTAGTTAACTGTTTGATGATGTTTATTTATTAGCTAAGATCAGTAGAATTTGTCTATTTTTGGTTGTAGGGACAGCGTCAGTGGCAGCAGCCGGAGTTTTCGCCTCCCTAAGAATCACGGGCAGACAACTCAGGGATAATGTGTTCCTCTTCCAGGGGGCGGGGGAGGTAAATTCTGTCTGAGTTTTTATTTGATAATTTCTTTCTGCTGTCTTTTTAAAAATAAACAAAAGGAAAGAAAATAACTGAATTCTAGCATCATTAGTGGGGAATAATGTAAAATGAAAATTGAGTCTAAATTTGACTTCAATATGATATGAATATTAACATAAATGATTCTGTGAAATCAGTTACTTATAGGACATAATTTTCATTATAGGCCCGTCTTAAGACGGGACGTATTATGTTATAGGCTTCATGTCCGTCCGTCCGTCCGTCCGTCTGTCCGTCTGTCCATTCCTGTCCGGCTCATAACTTCAATACTATTAGGCCTAGGATTATCAAACTTTGTCAACTGATACTTCTTGGGTAGACGGTGTGTCGCGCGCAAAAAGTAGGTCGCTCTGACCTTTAATTAAGGTGCTATGGCCAAATATGGAAAAATCCTGTCCGGCTCATAACTAGAAAACTATAAGACCTAGAACTATCAAACTTGGCAAATGTATACATCTTGGGTAGAAATTCTGTGTTGCGACCTATTTCAAGGTCACTGTGACCTTTAATTTAAGTGAAATTTTTTAAAAAACTAAGTCTTGTAAATTTTTAATTTCATAATCCTAAAAAATGTAAAAATTTAGCTGTATCCTTATTAAAAAAGCTAACTGGAGAGCATCGGTGTTATCTATATCCCTTTGGGAATTGGGCAGATGGGTAAGCCTGTTGGATTAAAGATAGCTCTTGTTGGCTAGCCAAGTTTTAAAATGATTTTGATGAAAAGTAATTAACACTAAATTGATATTGCATAATAAACTAATCTGATATTATATAATATTATTAATTTAAAAAACTAATTTCATAGGGGTGGAATCAGCATGTCCATTTTCCATAGAAATCGCATATTAAAACCTTTCCGACATTGAATTTAAAAAAAAAAAATCATTGAGTATTTTTATGTTTTAAAAATATTTTATGGTAGATAGTGCAGATTCATTCATCTATAGTAATGACTTTGACAAGCATCCAGTCAAAGATTAATTTTTAAAAATTCAATTTAGGAAGGCTAGCTAGCATCTTCTTATCTGTATCCTTTGGGAATTAGACAGAAGAACTGCTGGTCAGTTTAAATAGCTTATGTCATTTGATGGCCAGCCTTTTATTTTCAAAATTAATTTGGTATAGATTAAGTTGTTAAGACTAATTTGATATTGTTTAATATTATGGGCATTTGACAAGGTCTAATACAACCAGTATAGAAATCTATCAATGATGTAATTTGTTATGATTAATGCCTACACCAAAGGGGATGGATAAACAAATATTCTAAGGAATTCTAGAAAAAAATCATGGAAATTTTAGAATCAAGGTTTACATGATTTTCTTGCTCTCTAAACTGTTTAAGTTAAGTGTAATTTTTTGACGGGCGTATCATGCTGTGGCGTTGCACTTTATTTTTTTTTTGTGACGTGAAGAGAAACACAAATTCATGTCCTCCAAAAATGTTAAGATTTAAACTAGATCATTGAGTAAATGTTTTCAAACACAAAATCAAAAATTTCTAAAAACCCAACATTTTATATTTCAAAGGACCACAGAATTCTGACACGAAAACATGTCTCTTACGTTATAAATTGTTGTTTTAGGCCAATTTAGGTATTGCCACCCTGCTCTCCCTAGCCATGCAGGAAGAGGGAGCAAGTAAAGAGGAAGCGGACGGTAAAATGTGGCTGGTGGACTCCAGGGGTCTGCTCGTTAAGGTATCATCAATCAATTATTTCAAATATACATGTACCTACAAGTGTATCCATATGTCAAATAACAAGACAATTGGTGTGTAATTACAGGACAGGCCAAAGGGTGGAATCACAGGACACAAGGCAGTCTTTGCTAAGGATCACCCTCCAGTGGACACGCTAGAACAGGCAGTAAAAACAGTCAAGCCTACCGCTATTATAGGTAATCAATGTTTTCTATACATGGAGTGCAATTGAAATTAAAGTCTGCTTTTAACTTTAATATGTAAACCCTATTGTTTTTATTATTTTTTACTATTGAATAAGATCTTAATTATTGTAACAAAGAAATTTTAGTGTCAAATTACTTTTTTACTCATGTTTATTTATGTAATTAGGGGCAGCTGCAGTACCTGGTGCTTTTACAGAGGGCATTGTTAGAGACATGGCAGCATTTAATGAACGTCCAATCATATTCGCTCTTAGTAACCCAACAAGTATGTCGGAATGCTCCGCTGAGGATGCTTATAAATGGAGCGACGTAAGTCAAAAACACTCAGCAAAGTTCATAGATAGTCAAATCTTATAAGTTCAAAGTCAGTGAGAAGGAAAGGAAAATAAAGATGTCAGGGGATTCAAGATATCAAAGATACAATACTAGAATGGGATTTACAGCTCACTCCATGGTATTCAAGATATTGTTTGAGATTCTAAAGTTTGTTGTATTTTCGTTGCAAACCTTTCGAGAAATCTGTAAAATGATTAGAGTATTTCAATAATAACATAGAGTATTTCAATAATAACATCCTACCAAAAGACACTAGAATGTTCAAAGAGATAGATGTACTACTGATAGATTTTTCCTTAACATTTGAATACTTTTGTAGAAATTTTATCACTGAAGAACCTGGTATGGAAATTTATTAATAGTTCATTTAATTTGAATCAAAATTTTACTATCTTGATGAAAAAGTGACAGCTTGATTTTCTTTGAATTCAGGGCAGATGTGTGTTTGCCAGTGGAAGTCCCTTTGACCCAGTACTTATTGATGGCAAGGTCATGGTCCCGGGTCAAGGAAACAATGCTTATATTTTCCCTGGAGTGGCACTGGCAGCCATTACATGTGGAATCCGCCATATCTCAGAGAAAGTGTTCCTAACAGCTGCTCAGGTAATCAGCTCCAAAGTCATTTAAAAAAGAAAGGATTCATTATGGAAAGGAAACAGGCTTAGTTAAACTTGTCATAGTCAACTTTGGTATGCTTGGCTGAATTGATATAATCTTCAGAGATGTGATATTGCATATAATATAAAGCCATTTAAGAAGGAAGTATGGAATGTTTGAAATCAGTTTTTAAAATAAAAGTTCTATGAAACAAGTGACATCAAAATTTGAATACTTTGTAGTTAATGTTGTTTGGAATTTTGATTTAGTGAGCATGTATGAAAAGCTAATAGAATACTTGTGTTGCAGACCTTGGCGGGATTAGTGACAGAAGGTGACCTTGCTGAAGGTCGCGTGTACCCACCACTGAAGACAATCCGAGAGTGCTCCATCCAGATCGCCACGTCTATTGCGGAGGAAGTGTATAAGGAGAAAATCGCCTCATACTACCCCGAGCCAGAAGATAAAATGGCGTTTATTCGGGAGAATATCTACTCTACGGATTACGAATGCTTCGTCCCGGAGACCTGGGATTGGCCAAAACCAGAAGAAAAATAAATGTAAACATTTTAGGTTAACAATTTAAGAAAAAATTTATTTATAAAAAATTGAAGAATTACCTAGACCTGTGAAGGGGAAAGCACAGTGTTATTAGTTTATGTTTATTTGTTTCTATCCACCGTGGTTTCAAATTTGTTGAAGGAAATAATATAATTGTTGTTGATATTGTTTTGCAATGTATTTCTTAGTTCTTACAATATACTCCTTTGTCATAACTGTTTCAAACTCAACTTACAACATATCTATGGTTTCATTGACTTGGTTTGCTTGTGCTGTGATTAGTTCCATAACAACAATATTGCTGGTGATGATGTAAGATTTATTTAAAGTATACATGTAGAATAATTTAACAAAAGTTTCCATTCATATATATTTTTTGAAGAGTTCATCTTTAGTGACATGTTTGAAATGCATTACTGTGACCAGAGAACAATATGTCTGTGTAAACAATTTGTTTGAATTATTTTAGTACCAGATATGCTTACCATGTATTTGTTTTCTATATATGTACCATGCTAAATGTCTTTTTGCTTTTATGTGTTTCAATTTTTATCAAACTTCCGCGACCATCTGACATACTGTTCTGGCATAATTTTACTCGAGCATCAGTCAAAATAAATAATTTTTTTCTATTATTAAAAGATCTGAGATGCTGGTATTCTGAGAACTCTGCATAATGATTCAAGTTAGGTCATTTTCTCTTTATATTCAAAATTCAAGTTTTGTAAATCTAACTAAATTATGTGTGTCCAGATTTTGTGAATACCGGTTTACATGTAATATGAAGCAATTTCTGTGTCTGTAGATGATTCTTGTTAATTGTCATTTAAGAATGTAACAAATTAACAATGTGTATATATATGCATGTTTTAGTTTATGTCTATTTAATAGATAGATGTACTTTGAAGAATAAGATACACATTAAACAATATGTATTTACAATATATTAACAGGATACAATCAGAAGGAATATGACAAACATGTGTATTGATTTTTTTTCTAAGTTATTATTAATTCAAGCACTGCCAAAGTGATCGCCAAACTAACATTGGTGTCAAGGGATATAAAAGCCAAGTACTAATTTTATATTTACTAAAAATTGGGCCAAATAGGTCAAAATAAAAATGAAAGTTAAATGTTATACATGATTAAATGAAATTTATCCCTCTGAGCAATCTCATTCTGACAAACAAAATGAACAAAAATAAATTTCATTGTAGGGAGTAAAGAAAAAATTATGAACATATAACTGTCTTCTAGCATGTATTTTACACTTTCCTGATTTGTATGTCTGTGTGTAGAATTCAGTAGTAGATTAGCTGTATCATTCTACTGATAGTATGACAAGAACTGAGTGAGACTGGCTGTTGGAAGGCAATAGAAGGACAAAAATTTACATTCAGTATTCCCAGGACATCTTTCTCAGTATTAAGGTACTACTAACCTTAACATTGGCTGTTATCTAACACCCACAGGATCAACTACTGTAGGAATCTCACTACGATTTGTTAGTATTGTATTAGTGTTACTGACTTTTAACATTTTTTTTTCTTTTGGTGAGTAGTTAATTAATTAGCCATTAATCTGAATCAAATGTAAATCCTGTATCATTTTATAAGAGTGATTTTTTCCTTATTAAAAAGTGTTAAAATTTAGCAATATATTACTGAGAAACTATATTTTGTGACTGCACTGATTCTTGGTTATAAATATATGTAGGCCTTGGTAAAAGCAAGTAAATCTTAAGATTTTTATGAGGGTGATAGGGGTATGGAATGATTACATGTTCTTTGTGTTTTAGAGTGTTATTAGGTTGTAGTGTTTTGTTGTATTGTCCATATATATGTTGAATTATTTAAACATAAGACCCCACAGCATTATGTGAACTGGAGAATAATTTGAACCTCATTCAACCAGTAAGCAAGTACAGTCAAATTTTCATTATCTCAAACTCGATGGGACCTATGAAAAACTTTGAGATATCTGCTGAATCAAGATATCAAGGGTGAAATACTTAAAGAATAAGTTGCTGGGAATTTCAAATCACTTTGACATATCCATGGTATTTGAGATATCGATGTTCGAGATACTGAAGTTGAACTGTAATTTTTTGTAATCATACAAGACTTGCTTCCAGTTTTGTAGATGTCGCACTCATTTGCACTGTCAGCTTTTTGTTGGGTTTGTTTTGAATAACATGGAAACACGGTTCTTTAAATACATGTACATGAATAAGTATGAATTTTACTATGAAGGAAAACAGCTTTATAAGAAATTGAATGATAAGAAAAGAAATTGTACACCTTAACTAATGTTGATATTTCCATTGCTCCATTAATATTCACATATGTTGAGTAAATTAAAAAGAACTTCAATGTTAGTTTTTGAAATGCCTTTACAATATTTACAATTTTTCTTATTTCTGTTGTTTTTATTTTTTTGTAAGGTTTTGTTGTTTTATCAGAATAATACAGAGACAGTGCTTATTTTAGTGCTTCTTTAAGGATAACAAAAAAAAATTTCTTGTTTTTCTTGCCTTGTAAATTAGTCATCACTTTATATAGCCACAGGGATTGTTTAAAAAGAAATAGAACTTAGAATGGTCATGTGTTGTGAACATAAATATAAATCATGAGAAAAAAACCAATTGATTTTATTTAAGGGTACTAGAGGATAAAGTTCAGATAAGATTATTGTTGACATTTGCAAATTGCTTAGTTTTGTAATAAAACACAAAGCTTATATTGTTGATTGTTTTTTCTTTTTTAATGAATTTAATCTGTACTCGTATGTGATTTTTTGATCTGCAAGTGAATTTAGTCTTTTTTACATGTATGTAATAAGCTTGCAAGATATTGATAAGGATTGGTCAAATTTCAAATTTTAAATGAAATTAAGTTACAAAAGAGATAGAAAAAGCAGCAGATCAGTGTAATGGAGAGCTTTGCAAAGTAATACATACATGTATTAAGTCAGACTGCTTGCAGAAACAGAAAGTGCATACATTACAATATTAATGTTCTTATAACAAAGTGTAAGGGATGGATGATTCTATTTTTGGGTTTTGTGATCGTTTTACATAGAAAAATGATGAAAACGGAGCATCCCCTCGTAAGGAGTGTGACAGGGATTTTCCCTTTGGATTTTTATGTTAATTGCTTCCAGAATGTATAATTAATATTCGAACTCAGAAAGAAGTTTGATGTTTCTTGTATTTCAATTTTTATATATTTATGAAGATAAGTTATCTGACCGTAATACTTCTATCGCTGCCAGAAAAACAGCATTCAACATTGATCCCGATACGAATTACCCCGTTTCGCACAAGGACAAATTAACACACACACACACACACACACACACCCTCCCTCACACACACTCCCACACACCTAACACACACACACACACCCTAACGCACAAGTGCCTTATTTTATTCTTTTCAACTCCATTGCGAGGGGATAAAAATCTTAAGAACCGGGAGGGGGGCTATGATTCATCATTTTTACGTATTTACAATGAAGCATTCTAAGATTGCATAGATTCAAGTATGTTCAAATTATGACCCCCCGTGGGTAAGTGGGGCCAGAATTTCATACTAATTAATTGTTGGACATAATAAATTAGTGATACATATAATTATATGCAAGCATCTTCTGATATTCAAATCAATGCCCTAGAGGGGATAAGGTGGAGTTCAGAATGAAAGCAGAACCAAAAGGACCCGGGAAAGCCTTGTGGCCTATGGGCCTGCTGATTGCTAATTTTATTAAATTATTGTAATTTATTTTATTACTTTATTACAGATTTATGTCAATTTCAAGAAAGAGCGAAAAGAACTTCTAAATTGAATGTAAGCTCTTTTTTAATTTTTTTTTGTTTTTAATTTTTTTTTTATATTTAGCTCACCTGAGCCGAAGGCTCAAGTGAGCTTTTCTGGTCCGGGGTTGTCGTTGTTGTTGTCGTCGTCGTCGTTGTAAACTTTTCACATTTTCATCTTCTTCTCAGGAAGACATTACAAAGACCTTGGGTGAAGGGGATTCAAGTTTGTTCAAATAGGGCCACACCCTTTTCCAAATTTATTTGTTAAAAATTTTTTTTAAAAAATCTTCTTCTGGGCCAGGAAAGATGATATTGTGGAAGCCCTGTGGTAGGTTTGTTCAAATGGAAATATTTGAATATATAGAAAAGATAAAAATCTTGAAAATGAAATCTGAAATGGAAGTGTAGATTCAAGTTTGTTCACATGACCCCCGGGGCAGAAAATGGCCGTACGTTTTACATAGGAATATATAGGAAAAATCTTTAAAAATCACTTTAACAAAAAAGTGTCATGCAGGTGTCCTTAATTTGTATTTTTCAATTTCTAATTTTACATTATATAGGAAAAATCTTTAAAAATCTTCTTCTCCAGAACCACTGGCCAAAGAAAGATAAACTCATGGAAACATGTGGTTTGTTATCATGACCCCCGCAGTTTTACATAGGAATATATAGGAAAAATCTTTAAAAATCATCTCCAGAACCACTGGGCCAGGAAAGATAACAAACACATTGCGTTTGTTTTCATGACCCCCGCTTTATTTTACAAGTATATAGGTTTTAAAATCTTCTTTTCAAGTACTTCAAAATTGACATCAAAATATTGTGGAGGATTTTCAATCTTGTTTATGAATGCAGGATACCAACCCTGTGGTAAAATATTTGATTATATTGAAAATGAAATCATTTTTTCGATTTACATTTTAACAAAAAGGTATCATGCAGGTGTGCTTTGTATTTTTCAATTTTTAATGTTCTTCCTTCAGTAAAGGAAACATGTGGTGTTATCTGAACAGTTAATATCTAAAAGGTAACAAACATATTGTGCATCAAGTGTTACAATTCAAAATTGACAATATACGATTTTTTCTACCAGAAAGAGTTTTATATTTAACATTTTCAATTATACTTATGTCATCATCATGTTATCAAAATAAATATATACAGGAGGTTTTTTAATAAAAATTTTAAAACTTCGGATTGATGACTACAATCGAGAGATTCAATTTACCTGTCAAACTGATTTTCAAATAAGAATTTTTGCACGGAGATATAGTCATTTTTTTTTTGTACAAATATAGGATAATGTAAAACTAGGCCTATTAAGATCAGCCTTATATGATCAGCAAAAATGCATTATTACACGAAATGTACAAAAAAACTGTCTTAAATAAAAACAAACGTTATAAAACTATGCACAGATCTTAGGAAAGTATTTTATTAAAGAGTCTCTCATCACAAAATGCTGTTTAATTGTAATCAGTCTTGTATATATGATTGACAACTAATTGTAAATGTATGGTATAGGTATAGATCAGAGAGAGAGAGAGAGAGAGAGAGAGTCTGAAGAAAAATTGGTATGAATAAGAATATTAACAAACATTTTTACCATTAATATCAAACTCATCAATTAAAATGATTTTTTCAGCATTTTTTACAAAGCTTCTGCTTGACTGATTTTATAATTATAAGGCATAATATTTTATTTTTAAGTATATCAAAAAATGTCGGGCACAACAAAACAAAATGAAATTCATCATTTAATTTTTCTTGTGCATTACAAAATGAACATGCATTCAGTTCGGTTTTTGGGTAAGTTTTTGTACCTTCCATTAAAAAATTTAGAGATGTTATCATACCCATAAATGTAAACGTTTTTCTGGCAGCGATATAAGTATTAAGGTCAGGTAACTTATCTTCATAATATATCAAAATTGAAATAAAGAAACATTAAACAAACTTCTTCTTGAGTGCAAATATTAATAAAACATTCTGGAAATTTGCAAAAAGTAAGCAAAAACATAAAAATCCAAAGGGAAAAATCCCAGTCACACTCCTTACTCAAGAAGATCTGCCTCCGAATCTTGTAAACGTCCTGTTTTCCATATCGAGAACACAGTCATCTTTTCCCGCATTACTTGCTGACAGTAAAGCACAAACAGATATATTTATATAAAAAAAACTCCTTCCTTACGGAAAACAACATTTAAGTTATTTTTACTTTCTTAAATCAATACATCGTCTTTCATATCCAGAATTGCTAATTCAAAAAAGGCAATATCAATCCTTCCAATTTCACTTTATCGAAGGAAAAGTTTTATGAATCCTTGCAAACATATAGCAGACGTAAACAAAATAATTTAAATAAAATTTTCACTTGAGTAAATCTATGTATTTTTATAGAAATAAAAGATTTTTTTGACTAATGGAACACGCTTTCTCTTTAAAGTTCCATATGCTAATTAAGTTATGTGTTTTGATAATACAGAGGTAAAACAGTAAATCCTTCCAACTTTGTTTTTAAAAAATCTAAACACTTAATACGGAGGAACGAATTTCATGTTTTGATAGAAGTTTCATCTCATGAAACTATTCTAAAATCTTAAGCATGAATAATGTCTAAAATACTGTAACCAAGTACATGTCACTACATCGTATAACTAGATGTGCTTGGTAGTTTACATTCTATACAATGAAGATCCCAGCGTATATACAATGTGCACCAAGTTTCGAAAGCTTTACAATGTATGTTCTTTTCTTCCAATATCGTCATTTTCTTTTATATCCATCACTGCCCGCTAAACCGTTTTTGTTTCGAATTTTAGAATGATCAAAGTTAAGGACAGCCTCAGCAAACGACACAACAGTCGGTGCTTGTAATTTTCTAGAGACACTGGCTCCGCTACTCCCAGACGATTTGCCACTTTGGAGGTAAAAATTTAATTTCAAGGAGTTTAAATTGTGTGATTCTGTTTGTTGTCTGCTCCAGATGTCGCCCTCTGAAACAGATGGCTGGCAGCTATCCGTATATAAAACCAAAGGTCCTTTTCTTGTTGTGAACGTCTTTGGGAGACTCAGAGGATACTTGTTCCTGTTGATGGTTGCATCTGAAACATCTGGGACTTTATTTGGAGAATTTCTTCGAAGTCTCTCGTGAGGGATGCGACTAGATCGTCTGCTCCTGTCACGTTCGGTGGTGATTTCCACCCTTTCGCCATAGCCCGTGGATCTTATTTCTGCCAGGCCTTTACTTAGATTAGAAAGCAACATGTTTGTTCATTCTGTACCAAGTTAACGAAATGACACTCTACGAAACGGCCGTAGAATTATATATATGTCTGTTATTTGAACGTGCGGTATACAAAAGAGGAAACACACCGTTAATCTCGGCAAATCCTCAAGATTAAGAAAAAGGACTCCCCTGTTTTTTGTCACTTAAAAATCGAAAAGATAAAAATTTACAAACCACAGTTATAAGGACGCAAACAAAAATGTCTGTCACAACCGAATTTTAAATTTGATGTCAGTGGTATGAAATGCGAATTAAATAGATGTACTAAAATCCCTTAATATCTGACCATTGTGTACGCAGAGGTGAATAATGCACTGTATAGCCAACCAAATCACGGGAAAGTTCAGCAGGGAACAAACAAGGATATAACTTTTGTGAACGGGAAACAAATTCATATACATATAATGTAAAAAGTATTTGTTTTTAATTTGTCAGGATAAACAAGAACGGACAATCGTCTCTCGTAAGTAAACAAGGCTCTAGTAACCACTTTACGGGTAATGTAATGTAACACAATTGGTTCCTCCTTTGTTGGAATTCCAGTCTCAAGTTCATGGGAATAGCGCATTAAAATCCCACTACCGTAAATTAAAAAGAGAAACTTTACCCCCAAAGAAACGTTCGCTTTCTGAAGTCTCTCAGCAACCCGGTGAATTCTTTTAGAATGTCCTCTCCTTCCAAGTGTCACATTGAAAGTAAAATCTTTTAGAGATGACAGGCTAAGAAAATAAATTAATGCCTTGCATATTTAAACCTAGCGACCGAGAAATAACCAAAGAGAATAAAATTCAATAAAACAAAGAATTCTGGCAATAGTCATTTAGTACGAAAGAGATACATTAAAGGCAGCCCGACCTTTATCAGATCCTTACATCTTTAAAGAGTTAGGAGTTCCACTTTCCCTTTTATCTCTGATGAAAGGACAAGTTGTTAAAATGTTTTTGCTTTTATTCCATCTGTATACATTTATTAAATATTTTTGCTGCTTACTTTCAATAAATTTGCATAGCAGAATGAATTTATTAAGGAAATTGTCTTTATTGATTGGGTGTACTCATTTAATTACCTTTTAATAAAATGTATCTTTACGAGAGAAACATGCTAACATCAACATTATACCAACTTTATGATTTGTTCATGTAAATTGCAACAGACTAGAAACGTTTATCTATCATATTAATTGCATGTTACTCCAGAATTGCTTGACGCGAAAAAAGGCTTAAAAATATGAGAAAAGAAAATTCGATACTGAATTTAATTAACTTTATTATTTATTTACACTTTATTCTGACAACGAACATGACTAAAGTAGATTGCCTGGATTTATCCAAATCCTTTAAGAGAAAAAGAATGTCTCTGTGTTTCTCCAATAGGTGGTAAGAAAGTTTGGGAAGTCGAACTCGCACTTGATCTGTGGCTTTCCGGTCTTCTTGGTGATCCGGAAGTTTTCTTCACGGTTCGTCCCGCCAAGCGAAGGTTGAATTCCGGAATTCCAAAAGTCAGACCGAGGCTTTCAACAGTGTACTTCTCTGAAACGATACATTGTAAAAATAATGGTCTTGTCAAAGACGTTTCTTTATATAATCTTTCATGTTGTAAATGATTTTTTGGGGGGAGGGGTGACAATGTATACTAAAAGACGTGTCGATGACATACGGTACATTGTGGACTTGCAAACAAATAAGATCACAACAATTTTTTAGTGTTGCTATGAATTGTAAAATTTTGTAATGATAATTACTACATTACACATACGTAGTTTTGAAACACAATCCCTAAAACAGCGATAATTTATAAATTATACAAAACGAATTATCCATGTGAACAAGTAATGCGTTTTGATTTGAAATAAATGAATAAAATGCAATACAAGAAGAAAGTGTGCGCGTCTGATTTGTATAGAAAAAACAGCTAGTGCTTAAATGCTGTTCAATTATATATAATTCCAAAGTTTAAAAACTAAAGTCTAAAAGTTTTTAGACTCACTCACCTTCGTGATGATGATGATGTTCAATGTCCCCATTATTTTTCCAGGCATCTTTGCGAACAGTACTTCCTTTCATTGCGCGTTTCATGTATAAACTAGAAAATCCCTCCGCATGTCTTCTTGTGGCTGCCAAAATAAAAGATCGCCGACTGTCGGAAGTTTTCGGTATCTTCTTTGGTTGTTGGAATGTTGGAACTGGCGATTCACATTTAACCGATCTTTCCTCTGGACATTTCCTTTTCGTGTGAACGGCACTTTTTTCACTGTATTCACATTTCTCTGAATCTACCAATGTAATTTTATTTACAAGATCTGGAAGCATGTTACCGTTACTTGGTACATTTTCAGGTATTTGTTCGTTTTTCGTTGTCTTTTTATTGCACTCTTCAAATTTTTGAGATCTATCAACAGTTTTGTTTTCCTTTGAAGTTTGTTTCACTTTAAGAACACTATAATCTTTTACACTACTTGATGCGTTCCCTCCTGGATTTGCAGACGACAGTTTGGTGGTTTCCTGTCCACCTTGTTCCATCTTTTGCTGTTGCTGTCCTGAGGCCTTAACACTATTTACGGACATTTTTCTACTAGATCTACATTGCTCTGTATGATCTATTGATTTTTCCCTTTGCAGACGGTCATTTTTTCTATCTCCTATTTGCAGTCTTGCACTTTCAATTTTTAATGTCGAATTTTCCCTTGTCATAGATTCACCAGAATCGGTCAAACATGCAGGACGTTTGTCTCGAGAAAACTTGTCATAAAACTCGTGAGAGTAAAGTACAGACGATCGGATGTTGTCTTGGTGATTGACCTTTGTCCCCAGAGTTTGACAAATAGAACATTTTTCCCGACTATCACTTTCTCTGTCCTTCAGTTGCTCAGCATTGCGTTGTACATCATTTAAATCTTTGTCATAAACGCCGATTTTGGAACATCCACTGCACAGAATTCCGCGAGGAAAATTTACATTTTGCAAAGCTAAAGTAGCCACGTTGTCATGCAGGTACCCCTCTTTTTGTTGAGATGTCTCCTTTGCCTCCTCGTCGTCATCGAAGCATTCAACGTCACTTCCTTGGTTACCATCCTCAGTCTCAGGCACCTGTTGACCATCTCCTTTTCTTTTGTTTTTGTAATTCTTTCGCTCTTCAAGAAGTTTAACTTTTCCGATGCCTTTTGTTTTACGTTTTGTTTGATCGTACTTCATAATTTACTCAGAGCTTGGTTTATGTATTCATTGTGGCATTAATCGATGGTAAATATTTGGGTTTATGATCAGGATCGACCGTCTTCAACAGCAGAACAAATAAAGGCAAAAATCATGGAATCTGCAAGTAAAGGGAATACACTATATTAACATCATGTTAGGAATGTGCATTTAAATCAGGGTATAACAAATGCAATGACAAATATAATGAAAGACCTTATGCTGAAGTATACTGTATATGTTGACAAAATAAAAGGCAATTACAACGTAAATAAATGGATTTTGCTTTTATAAATAAGAGAAAATCGAAACTTGCAATTTAATCACGTCCGCTGAATATAGATATTCAATTATTATTTGTTAACAAATAATTTAATAATGTGAACTTCCTCAATTAAAGAACAAAATGAACAATTTTCTGAAACGCGACATTTCCCCTACTTTGATATTTGATAGTGGATGTAAACCATTTTATAGTATTTTAAACGATTGTGTGATATTTTTAACGAAATATTTCCTGACAATTTTTGAATGAAATAAACAGTTACACTCGATCTCTATTTTCAAAGTAAAAAAAATAAGATTGTCTCTAAAGATTGTTTTTAAATTTGGAAGCAGTCAGAAATTGTTTCATCAATAAGTGGAAGAAAATCGCTGCTACTTCCGTACCATGAAACAATTCTACCTAACGTATATGTTCAATGATCCTAGATAATCAATGACTGTTTTCATTAATTATGAAGAAATCCTAAATAAAAGAGTTAACAAATTTATTTGAACTTTTGAAGGTTGATAGAGACCAAGAGAGGAGAGAGAGATTTTAGCATCTGCTTGCAAAAATAAAAAAAAAAAACTTACCTTTAAATAAGATCAATGAAAACTAAGGATATACACATGAAATAAAAAAGGGCGACCGACTTAGCAGCCCTGAATCTTAGAAAAACAATCGACTTTGAGATAAGAATTTATCAATACCGTAGGGAGGCAATTGGATGAAATCGTCTTAATATCGCCTTCCTACCTTAATCCCAGGCCAGAACTTCTAAAGAATACGATCAAGGTGTCGTAATGAAAACTCGCAATTATTGCAGAGAACCTGGCTATGACCTTAGGAAGAAAGAAGAGTTTTGACCCTTAGCAAAGACAGAATAGCTAACAAGTATAAAGTAAAGGGCGGGGAACAATTGAATGCAGTCTGTGTACAGTGTACACAAATATCCAATAAACGTGTCAACAGTGAAAACAATGGCAGAATATACCCCTCTATTTCCCTTTAGTCATTCATGTGGCTTTTAAATCACAATGGTATTGTTATACCCCCAAAAATGCATTCAAAAAGGTTATTTAACAGGTTACAATGTATGTCAAAAAGCAATAAAAGAGCCCTTGGTGGAGTCCATTACTTTCTGTTTGCATGTTAGAATATATCCTCTAGAAAGCTGTCTTACTTGACAGGATTTATATTCTTTAAATTTTGTTCAAAATTCTAAAGCTCTTTTTTTTCTTACTGTTGGGGCATATGCAATTCATATCACTGAAATTTTCAATTAATGAGATATCAACTACGTGCACATGAATGAAACATAAGATATGTGTTGTTTTTGAAAATATGATTTCTTTAATATTTACTTACATCTTGCTTTGTGTCCGCTTGATTATTAAATTCCTTAACATGTTGCAATTAGTAGTAGGTATATGTAGCGGTGATATACAAACATTAGCTTTTAAAGTAGATTATAAATGAATTAATTTTTAAATGATCGCCAATGGGTCTATAGTTAAAATACAAACATTAAAGGTGTATGCCAAGTTGACAAATATTTGTAAAATGCCTCTGTGTCTTTGAATTAAATACTTACCTTTCTTTTTAAAGATTACTTTTTTATCTTTCTTCAAATAAATTAATATTACAATATTTTATTAATTCGCATTTGTAAATTATTTTTTACACTTCATAAAATGTATTAAATACTAAATTCATAAAATGTATTAAATACTAAGTAGTATTACAACTGCCTAGTAGAGGGAATATCACAGCGAAATATGCAACATTCTTCGCAAAATTATTTTTTTTAAACGATTGAATTGTATTCAATGAGCAAGTAAGGAAGACAGATACAATAAAAATAATAGTATTAGATACATATAAGAAATGTTAATGTTTTTGAATTGTTACTTAATTTGAAAACGTACATGTAATATTGTGTCGAAGGAGGTTAACAATGAAAAAAAATGTCAAAATGATATCACATCTTTCATCATTTAACTTTTTAAAAATTCAAAATGTGTACAAGCACATGAAAAATACAAATATATGATTCATATTTATTTAACATAATGCTATCGTTCCAGCAATTTTTATCAAAATAAAATATGGCAAATAAAAATTTGTGGAAAGACAAGACTTAAAAGTAATGCAGTTTATTTTGGATTTTATTCAACATCAGTTGATGACTTGTGTACTTAAAAATTTTAAAGAAATCCAAATAACAAAGAGGTTACCAAAGAAGAAATTAACGTGAAAAAAATATTCAATGCAAATAGATAAAGAGAACTTTTACATTATATATAGAAAAGTTGGTATGGCATAAGACAAAGATTTTTGTTTTAAGTTTTTGAAATCTGCCTATTGAAACTGTATAGATAATTTTCACGCTGGATGAATATTTATAGTAAAAGTGGAAATTTGATATTATCACAATGACTAAGAGTTTTTTGTTATTTTAATTGTTCATTTAAAAACAAATTTATCCTTATGTAGCATATTTCAGAATTTGTTTCAGGAATAAAAATTATTATACTACAATAATATTAGAAAAAAATATCTTGTAACCTATTTAAAATAAATTTGATTTGAAGAATTCTTTATTTTCAATTTTATAAAATCTAAAAAGAAAAATTTTAAATTTTTATAAAAGTAACTTACATGTACATGTATATATACGTCCAGTACGTTATTCTAGGCACACACTGACTGACTGGAACTTGTCACTGAAATTAAAAATAAAACGATTACATAAAATTACGAACTAACCATTTATCCGCCTTTTTAGATAAAGAATATAAATGGGGGTTAATTAATTAACATTGCATAAAAATTCAGTTGACATTAAATACCCGTAAAACAGATTATCCAGCAATGATAAAGTATAGAAAACCTTTAAGCACTTGTGGTCCTGTCAACTTTCAATAATCGTTATGTCACTGTGAATTTTTGATCGACCGTTGAATTAATTTCTAAAGTAAAAATCATGATGGTTAAATGGATTTTCTATTTACACCATAGTTTCGTCGCATATCTTGCATTGCATTAAGCACTTCTCAATGAGAGAAGTGCGAGTCCATTTAAGTTGAACGTCTGTGTCCAGGCATTGATCTTTTGTCATAGCGTCAGGAGAATAATGTATCCATTAATACCTCAATCTGATATACTCGCCAGGTATTCTATATATAACCGTCGTGTCTAAAGGCTTACATATTGAGGGATCTTAAAAAGCATTTTATTTTCCACAGAATTCAATATTGGAGACATTGAATGAGATTTGATTAGAAGCGGGGGCTTATAAATAATTCAATGTAATGAAAAATGGTCGTTGATAAATTCTATAAACCTCATTCTCTCATGGAAAGGCAAAAAGTGAAATTGATTAGATATATACTTTACATGCAGGTTAAAAAGCTTTCATTAGCGTTGATTAGAAATATTCTCAGTGTTATTCTAAGCAATGCAATCACAGGGCTGAATCCATGTATGTGATTAATCATCTCTAATTTCAATGGTGCATATTATGAATCTTTCTTTTTTGCCATGAGGTAAATATTTTTTATTTTCAACTTTTATTCAGACGAAATTAATTTTCAGCGGTTTGCTTTAATTTTTTTAAGGACAGATGATAACATGTACAAACAAATATTTGATAAATTCTTGAAAATAATGACTTGAGTCATGCTGATATATTGCAAAATGAAGAAGTTTTTAAAATACATAGATTCAATTTTTCAATGAAAGTTTCAAAAAATGGGATTTAAACTGATAAAAGGTTGTACTGATTAAAGAGAATGGCTGCAAATAGGTAAAATTCTGCCATAGAAAGTTTAAAGCTTTAAACAATATTTTAGAAATATATCACTTGCCTCGTTTACAATCAAAATTGGTTCAGAATTATACAGAAAACTATAATGCACTGATATACATGTATATTTCTCTGAATATTTTCGATATAGATATAATGTTTTAGGTTTCCCTATAAATCGCATAAATAACATATTTTTTGTTTTGCAGAAAAGAAAAACTCGACAGTCTGATTTTGTACACGAAGGTTAGATTGATGTTTTGAATTTCAGATCAAGATACGATTACAATTAAACTTTTTGTGAGCAAACAATTTTACTTTTGGAGTATTTTGACATGGCAATTACATCAGTTTCATTAAAAAAAGATTATAGTGACAGAAAATATCATCGCATCGTTTTCACGAGAAATTGTGTCGTTTTTCAAGAGATATTATCTTTTACGATATAAATTTTCCCTGGTATCCTTAAAACAACAATAATAATAACAGTCCTAAATACACCACCTTAGACTAACAAAATCAACTTTCAACAATTAATGGAATATATTAATATGACCATGAAAGTTGTCATAAAACAAGAATTAAAACAATCCAAAAATTTGTAAAACTTACCCGATTTTCGAAACTTCAGATGTTATTTCCTGGAGATCACCTATGACCTCGTTGCCCTTTAACTGATAATATAGCTATTTTGGTATTTAAACTATTTATCTCTCATTTTGAGTTTGCGCATTTATTTTGTCAACACAAATAAAATGTTAACAAAAATCATGTAGAACAAAGACTAAGATCCCCCATACGATATAAAATGTAACGCGGATATGTTGAAAAACATGTTAGTTTAGGAATTGAAAATCGTGAGAAAATACTTCAAAGAATCGGACTTTAAAGGATTACAATGGTATACGATGTTTGTATTTTACTCTATGATCTTCCTGAATTCTCAAACGACACCGCAAACTTGACGTTATTCGCTAGGTCAACAGGTGACATCTATATCTAACATAAATACGAGTAAAGAGGGATAAATTATTTAATGATTACTAGTCGATTTCCTGTTTGTTATTACAGCTCGTAAGTAAGCAACAATAGAAAGACCCTCAACAATAGATGTGACTTAATTTAATCATGAAACATGTGGTGATAACGAACAGTATTCAAGCTAAAAACTCCATTGAACATTACAAATCTGAAGGGGAGCAAACGCGAGCCTCTAAAACATCGGAGGAGGCATCTATGGCACGCCAAATTCACAAAAATGAGATAAACCTAGTTTCACATTTGATAAACTAGGTTTATCGACTGTAAACTATAGTTTACAAACCGTAAACTGTAGTTAACGATTCGTTAAGTATAGTTTTCATCTGTAAAACTATATTTAACGGTTGTTAACTATAGTTTACGAATGTTAATTTAAGTTTATCTGTCTGTGATAAAGCGTTAACAATAGATTTTGTTGATAAACATAGATTCACGTTTGTAAACTATAGTTTACAATCGTAAACTATAGTTAAGAGTTGTTAATCATAGTTTCACAAATTGTGAAACTATATTTATCAGATCGTTAACTATAGTTAACGGTTTGTAAACTATAGTTTACAAATCGTGAAACTGTATTTATCAGATAATCTATGTTTTGCAATCGCAAATGATTGTTTTCGGTATTAGGTATAGTTTACGGTTGTGAAACATAGATTATCGCGTTAACTATGGTTTACAGATGTAAAATATAGATTAACGTTGTTAACTATAGTTTACAGTCCGTAAACTATAGTTTACAACCGATAAACCTAGTTTATCGACTGTGAAACTATGTTTTGCTCATTTTTGTGAATTTGGCGTGCCATAGGCATCAGGTGCCAAGGAGAAGTAGGCACCCCGTGCCGACCGATCGCACCCGCCGTGTGCTCCTCGTCACATGTTGCCCAGAATTGCTTGAATAATATACACTGTATGCTTAAAAAGTGTATACAGTTATTTTATTTGAAGGTTGTATATTATCATGATTACAGATCTTAGATTGAATAATTTGAGAGAGATATAAAGAAAAATGGCATTTTATCAATAAAAGATATATTCATTTTCAAGCATATGCTGATTTTATATATTCCAACAGTTATCATCACCAGAAACCGACACACTATTTTCATATTTTGATGTTTAGCTAGAGGAAGCTGTAGATGCCAAACTAAAAAGTATTCTTAATGATTTACACGACGGAATTATTTTGTATAAAAAAAATTCCCGTACTTGTGTAGCAACCATCATCAATTGCATATGGGGATTACTAGTATGCCTATCACTTGATTAGATACTCAATGGTGTATTCTACTTATGAACAATTTCTAGAATGAGGCAGGCGACTGAAAGGTAAGTTGTTTTGTTTTTAAGTCATCGTTTTGCATATTTTACAGTCGATACAAAGACTGTTTTTGTACCAATACGATATCGTTGGATTGAATGTTAATTGACATTTTTCATACAAATTGTTTGATCATTATTTTCATACTGTAAGTGGATGACAATTGGGATTGCCTGCTCTTTTATGACACCTGATCCCACGTCTAATGTGTTTATGTTCTCAGAGGTCTGGGGGTTTTTCTCTGCTCACAATTTGTTAAATTTGAATTTTTATCATATCTTCACAAGTCATGAAGAGCTTCTCATTCTTATAGATATCATATGAGTTGGAGGACTTTTCACTGACAGTATAAAATCTGTATAGCATAAAAATATTGTAAATGCATGTAATATTCTTAAGAAGCTTTAATTCACAAATAACTTAATTTATGCAACATTCAACAAAATGTATTTTAGAATCTCCAGCCAAACGACTTCACTTTACGTTGTTCTCTTGGACATTACAAATACGATTAAGCTACAAATTATGGTGTTTCTTCTAGTAGACAGATCGGCAACGCCATCCAACATTTGCTAGATGCTAGCCAGAACGTCAATGATAACATATCCAGTGTCAATAGGAAGCTGAGGATGTACCTCTGGCTTTTCAGAAGTTTGTGGAACCTGTTCAGACACTACACTGTTTGCATTTGAATCAAGAATATCAGCATTCTCCTCTTTACTGGAATTACACGTAGTTTTGTCCTTATAGTCAAGAAAATAATTCTGGTTTTCCGTATCTGTGACATACATTTTACTTATAAAATTCGTAATATCACTTTCAGAGGATCCTCTCGAAGGTATATCCTTTGAACTTTCGACACTGAAATCTTCGTCTTCAATAAATCCTACATTATCTATCCCTTCTTTTTTCTGTTCTCGCTGTGTTTTTGCCTCGGATTCAACAATTGCTTGATCAATGCTGACCTCTCGATAGTTCTTCTCCGCCGCTTTGTGAACTGATTCAGTTGAACGTTTGTCGTTTTCCCCAAGTGTGGAGTAAACACCACTGTCTGTCTTCTCGACATTGGTTTTCAGACTCGAAGCTTTTTTCGGAGGGGATACGTTTAGAGAAGGTTGATTAAAGGCCCAGCTTGTTGCCCTGGACTCCGCCGGTTTATATGTGGATTTAATGTATCGACTAAAACAGAAATACAGAATTAAAAAATGAACCAGTTATTTTAATGCAAATTGAACCAGTTTAAAATATGTTTAAGAAAGTTGTTTTTAGAATGAAACAAATTCTTGAACTTTTTATAAAACAAGTATTTAGACTGACCTTCGTCTGACCTTGAAGATGATGATGGCGACGACGATGAGGACGAATATTATAATACTGAGAGGTGTGATTATCTCCCCTGTAAAAGAAGAAGAAAATTTTTACGTTTATACGAATAGACATTTTATTTACAAACAAACTCTAGATCAAATTATTCGAATATTAATATACAATGAATCTGTGATAGTTTTTGATTAAACTGACGCAGAAACAAATTCAAAAAGTTTCCCGTTACCCACATACACGGAAAGTGAGCCAGTTGCCTGTTTTCTGTATGCCTTGTTTCGCCTGTTACGGTCCTGTCTGTATGGTTGTACGATGTGGACACCTCTTCGCTTACTGATTTTGTAACTAAAGCTGTACTTGTGAAGTTTATCGTATTTGTTGATACAGATATCGTAAATCCACCATCTACTCCGGTAGATGATACGTCATCCTCGGCTTGTGGTGTGATTATACTGGTGGCGGTGGTGACTGGAATGGCGCGTTCTGTTGCTGTCGTGGTTTGTAACGTGGTAGAAGGTAATGACGGGTGATTACAAACAACAATAATAGATCCGGGAATTCTCTCAAGTCCGCTGATTTGATCTGTCAAATAAAAGGATAATGTAAGTCATGAATAACCAAGAAAAACAAAAAGCTAAATGAAAGACCTCTAACGTCAAGTAGTATTTTTGCATGCTCTATTGCAAATGTATTATCGCTTCTAAATAACTTTATATTTAAGCATTTATAATGTATTTCAAAATGGATGTTACAATGTTATATATAAATTCTAATATTAATCATACAACATGAGATAATTTAGATTACTGACTTAACAACTTACAAGCGCGTAACAAGTAACAATATTTTGAATCAAATGTTTCCCTCTCACGAAGTATCTGAACCGTGACGGAATCCCCCGGTGTTACAGTCAGCGATTCCGCGCCCTGCAGGCACCGAATAGTAGACATCGTTCTATGGGTTATTGTTATAACGGAACCACATCCGTAGTAACCCGGCGAAAATACGTAATTAAATTCCAGACGATTTCCGGCAGAAACGTATACGCTGCAGTCACAAGAAGGCGCTCCAGAAGTTTCAAATGGAGAAAAGTCAAGCATCACCATTTCACCAGAAGTATGTCCAGGTACACATATCAGAGAGGCTGAAAAATTAAGGAAAAGAAATTTATTTTTAATAATAAAGTCAAGCCTGGAACAACCCCGTCTAAGAATTTACTTGTTAATGTTTTTAGATTGTTCAGAAAAAAAAAACGCCATCAGACGCAGTCATGTCAAACAACCACAAGGACTAAAGTCTTTCCATGAAATAGTTGAGGTTTTTTTTCATTGTTTCAAAATCCATTTTTATAGAATATTAGAGTAATTATACATAATTTTTTTTTAAAGAAGACGAAAACTGAATTCGAATGCCAAGATTTTATTGTGCGAAGGCCGACAATCTCTAATCTCTGAATAGAAGTATATGCTTGATACGTCGAAAAGAAAATGTCTGTTTTAGAAATGAAATAGTTAAAGGCGTGAAATAATGAACATTACGCGTTAAAAATTTACTTACTGTTCATGTAATTCGACGAACAGGATTTTTGTGCTAAAATAAGATAAGCAATATACATGTAAATGAGCAATGCAATAGGGAAAACATCAATTTGTGATTCTACATGTAGAATAAATTCCACGGACGATAATAAAAAAAATTTAAAAATATGTTTTCAAGTGCATCTATTTTTTTTGAAAATAAATTATTTACAGATAAAACATACCGGATGCCGTATTAAAAGATGAAAATATATACACAAATCCCAGCACAATGAATTCCTTCATCATTATCCGCGTCCAAGAAATATCAGAGCAGTACAGGTAAATGTGCGATACCTGCACGAACCCCGGAAATGGAACAAGTAATTAACAAAACAATCAAGGGACCACGACACGGGCATTCTGTGAAGTTAGAAATGGTGATCATCATTTAACTAGGTATTAACACATCTCGTTATGGCTTCACGGGACAGCGCGATCTTCTATGATGGTCGTTTTATGTTCTTTATTGGCCAGGAAACACCCTTTCTCATTATTCGTAGAGTAAGACATTCCGTTACAGAAAGAAAACAACATATATTGTTATTGATTGTTCCTTTGATAAAGTAATAAAAAACTGAAATTTGCGTGATCTGTTTATAAAATTTCTTACATTTATCTGTTATAAATATCCCCGTGACATGAAACACTTGCATGAACATTATTTTCTGTAATAATGCATGTAACAAGTAAACTGTTCATAGACCTATAGTTTGGTACATGTAAACGAACTCTGGTAGAAGTTTGATGTTGGAGTAGTTTTTACATAAAAGTACAAAACTAAAGTTTAAACTTAGCTATTGTTTTACTTTTAATTAATAAAACGCAGCAAATATAAAATATGATTGTCTCTTACTGTATTTCAGATCCACCATACATTTCTTCTCTATCAAGTCTCTTTGTTTCGGTGTTGAGATGTGGCGGGAAAAATGCTTGGCACATTGTAAAACGCGCTTTATCCTAGTCTCCTGGACCAAAATGTTGTAAGATTCTGTGCTTTTAAAAAATCATTTGAAAATTTTCCATAGGAAATGTATAAAAATGCACGTCATTTTAAAATAAATACAACAATCCTGTTTAGGCTGTTTAAAAAGAGAAAGTAAAATTGTTGATATACAACGCGGTCTTTGTTTAAGACTATGCCTACATATAAATTCGCCGCACTTCAGTCATGTCAGAGTTTGTCAATCAGGATTGGATGAAATATTTACTCCCCATTATTTATAAAATTTGATTATATGATTATTGTGCTTTATGTTAAACATTTAAAATGTCTTTGTTTAATATTCTATAATATAAATGTTAAATTGTTTTATTTAAATTGTTGTAACTCCGCAGAAACGCACGGCGACTTCAAACTTTCATATCAACTAAACCGACCGCCTCCTGGCGGCCGGTAACAACGTTATTGCGCATTGTTTTGTGGTGTAGATTATGTAATGTAACATAGCAATATAAGGAATTGTTTGGAGTAACATGATTGTTTTACTGTATTTCAAATATCTATCCCTCTGAGCGAATTAAAATATGTTCTGTAATTTATCAACATTACCTCTGGGCGTTCACCAACAACTTACTGCAGAATTAACAGTCTTCTTTTTTAAAAACAATCAATAACTTTAGGATGAAAATGAAGTTAAATTCACAATTACTAATACCGTTGTAAATAAGGAATTATTCCAAATAAAGATATTTCCCCTATAGATTAGTAAGAAAATTGGTTCATTTGTTTATTAAATAGTATATTAATTTTATACCATTTGTAACGCAACTGCATAAAAAACTAGAACATATTAAACTTGGAAGAAAATTTTATTCATAACATCAGCAAAGCAGACTTTCAGTATGCTGACACATGACGTCACGAGGGGCGGAAATTTACTAGGGGAGACGTCTTTGTGTGCCCGACTTGTACTGCCTCTAGTCGAGTCGGTGTACCAGAGAAATGGCGATAGATCTCCACATGTATGTACCGCCCGTATCCTATTCTTATCTAAAATTATTCAATGTTTCACAAAAAAAATATCAAAATTAAATTGACAACACTGTAATGTACATTTATAAGTTTATTGGTATCATTATTTTCTTAAATAAGGAAAAAAGAAAATATTAAATGTTCTTCATATTTACTTTAAATACTTCTGTCTATCCAGATACCTAGGATCAAACTTGCTGTCTATTCTCTATTTTATTTAACCTTATCGATAACATTACATATGTAAAACTATATCAAAATGTTCACATCAGTTGATAAAAAATGAAAAATAAACATTTGTTGCAACCCATGTAAAGCATTTGTACTTATTGTTGACCTACCTTGACAAGATAAAATGATCCAGTAGCAACACGGGACCTAAAAAGAAGGGGGACGAACTGGTAGACAGGGATCCCGTTTGAAGAGAGTGATTGTAGAATATCATTCTTTACCTAAAGCATTTTAAAGAAAAGTCCATGAAACAGGAAGACAGACAGGAGATTTAACAACATCTCTCTCGCTCTTTTTTTGAAATGAAAATGAAAATCTTTCAAAATGCATGACTGTGTAATGTTTTATACTAGAATACTGTCATATAAAGATATTGTAAATACACTACCAGAAATACTATTTGTCTTGTGTACTCATCTACGATTTGAGTCTCTGTCCATCCGCCTGGAATTTGACCAACTGCACTTGCCAGCCCCAGCAAGAAAATTCCGACTGAAATCCAGCTCATATTGCTCTTATCTGTCCTAGTGCTCGACAAAAACGACATTAAATAGGCCCGAGTTTTTGAGATGTTTTGTCATCATTTAAATTGTTTTTCAAAAATGATGACTCATTTAGCATATGTTGTACAATCTCCTATTGACTACATGATTCAAATCATTTTTGTTTTTGCTCTGGGGTTTTGTTGTTGTCGAGGTTAACCTGTGTACGTGCCAAACCAAATTGCATTAGAAGATAGATGCTATAATTAATGCAAATACGAGGACAAATGCAAAAAGTTTTATTTCCGCACAATATAAGCACCGTCAATGCACATAGATCTGGCTTAAATAAGAAAAATGAGCTATTCCTATTTCATTTTGTAAATACGTATATATTTATTTTATGTGCTTAATTTTAATTACTCTGTGAATGACAAAAACTTCAAAAAATTTCCATCTTACTGGCAAAAGAAAAACATGAAAGCAAAAGCAAGAAAACTGGTAAAAATCTACGAAAAACATGCCATTATTTATTATACAACATTATAGTAAGATTATATCAATATAGCTCTTTAAAGGGGTTTGGGCACAGTTTTAACTGCATTTTTTAAACCAGTTTTACTGCTTACTATTCCTAACGTTATTCTAATATGAATATAATATCAGTGTCCATGTTTTGCAATGGGAAACCCAAAATATGTGTAGGATGAAAAAGTAATAGATGGTGCACAACGGCAAAATGTAATAAAGATTCTATGAAAATTTCGTTAAGTGGTGTAAAAGGAGTTGCAGATAAGAGATGGGTATACCTAAAGCGAAACAAACAGATGGACGGAAATCCCGATTAATAAATACCCTCCCGCTTTTCAAGCAGGGGATATAAAAAAGGACTAATGTAGACAGGCAGGCATTATGGCCTATACATTTTTTTTGGCTATTCAATGTCTCTGAATGTCTTTCTCAAGATTGTTGCAACTCAAAAGATCTGAAACAGTTGTCTGTATTTGAAATAATAATATTGTTCACTCACTTAACCTCCCGATCAAAGATTTTATTTTACACCATGTTCAACTCCCATGAGTGCTTTCAGTATTTTGATTTTTTGCTGAAACTGTGTCTATGCCCCTTTAATGAGGTCGATCCATAAATATATCAACTTCACAGTAAAGTGCGAGGTCTTTATGCTTTTTCTGTGAAGTCGATAATTCTTATGGATTGACTAAATGAAAGGGTTATATTTGTTATATTATTTTTTCGAAGAAATTAAGAAAACCAAATTTGAAAAATAATCATCTTCGCTAGCCAAGGGTTTCTGATGCGCTACTCTCCTCATAAGTTTGTAAGGAGAGAAGCGTCTCAGAAACCCTTGGCTAGCGAAGATGAAATAAATATATGAACAAGCAACATGTTTTCTCTGTCATCTTTTTTTAACACAGGCTAAAGATAAAAAACTTTTTATCATAACTGTGATTCTTTTTTACTGATAGAGTAAAGTAATTTAGGGAATGTAATTTGAAAGACTGCACACTTTTAATTATAATTTAGGAAAAAAAACATTCACAATTTATTCTAATATAAAGTCACACTGGAAAGGAACATCGACAAGATCAAATGAAAAGGTTTTACCTTTAGTAAGAACGTGATCGTAAGTTCTCTAAGGAATGTAAGAAATAGAAATAGAAATAAATAAATAAATAAATAAATAAATAAATAAATAAATGACCCTTTTACTTCTTGTGGCTTTCAATTCGACGTTTGGAGATATCAATCACCTTTTATCAATTAATAAAATTTACAAAGTTAAGGTATTAATTTTCACTAAATTATTCGTCGATTTAATATACAGGTAAATCATGCATTTATTTCATATAAGTGCCCCAATTTTTTTCCCATAGAAATAAAATAACTGAAGATAACGAACAATATGCAAGCTCAAAAGTCAATTTAACGATACAAAATAAAAACAGAGCAAACACGGACATATAAAACATTAGAGGTTGGATCAGATGCCATGGAGCAGTGAGCATCTCCTTCCGACCAGTCACACCCGTGCATCTTGTCATGATCGGGAAATAACTGTAAAATCCGTCGATAATTCAGTGTGTATATAATGACTTAAATAATCACCCAGAAGATCTGCAGGCATGCTTATGAAAATTTCCTACGATGTGTCCTAAGACGTGTCCTAGGATTTTGCACAAATTCTGCTTCATATGAATACAAAAATAGTGGGCGCAATTGGTACCCATGAGATTGTTGGAAGACCTGGTCTCCAAAAACAACATAGACATTGTCAATCAGAAACTCAACCATCTTTTAAATGTCAACTTCAGAGTGCTTGTTTGTGCAATCAGAATGTTTTTCACAAAATAATTTTGCAAATGACCATTGACATGGTAAGTAAATTTGCGACTTCCCATTTTTATTGCAAAAGCAGTTGTAAATTAATGATGTAAAAAGCCTGGACTTTAATTTATCGAGGGGAATGGCTGTGTATAAAGTTGAAAAGTCGTAAGTTTTTAAGCTGTTGATTTTTGTAAAATCTTGTGATTTCAAATTGTCCAAAAGTTCCTTGGAATTTTTAAGTATTCACCTGTAATTTACACAACTTCTTGTATATTTGTTGCACAATACACTTGAAGTTTTTCATTCACTACTGTTAACATCTTAGTGAGGAATAAAAATTAAAGAGGCTTGGTTGAACATATAAAGGAACTTGCTTTGTATCTTTGTTTGAAGGGATTCTTATAAAGCTTTGGTAGTTCATATTTATTTTGGTTCTTTGGGATATTAAAAATATCCAAAACTGACATATGCTTTTGAAAAAAATTTTCCTTAGAAAGGGAACTATGAGTATAAGTTGGATTACCACTTGTAGAATTCCAAGTTCTTCTAAAATACAATTTATATAATGAGAATTACAATGAAGACAATGTTGTTACCTGCTTTGTCAGGAGGGGCCAGTACCAGTTTCTTGTTCGCATTCAATGACTTTCTTTTTACTAAAATATCTAACATGAGACAGGTCTGTCAGCCTGGTAACTTTTATTTCGAGTTCAATGGAATACAGTACTCGATCATATAGTGAACAATATCCATGTAGCAAACCTTTCCTGAAAAGTTTCCTCGTCGACAGGGAATGCTCGCTCCTCCATGGCACCCGATATCACCTCTGATGTTTTTGAGGTCTCTTTTGCTCCTCTCCTGATTTATATTATTTAATGGACTTTTGAGCTTGATTACAGGCCGTTTTCTCCATATACCCCCCTTTGGAAAAATTGCGAAAAGACAAACAATCTTTCTGGATATTCTAAGACATCGCAAATTTTCCAGTAGAAATTGTTTATTGTATAGCAAGCATCCCCTGAGAACAGAATTCATTTCCTCGATATTTTCTAATTCATTTAAGTAAATGTTCCACTCGGAGAAGCATTCATCATTCCAAATTTAGCAAATTCATCCTGCTAATTTTGATTGTTATGAACATAATGAATCTACAAGATTCTGCAACAAAATTACTGTACAAATTGTTATACTTTTGAACTGCTTTACTAAAATTAATTTGAATTAGTCAAATGCGAATCTGTACAGTCCATCATCAAACATTTTTTAAAATTAACATTAACTGCATGAAGGTTATATCTATGATATGAAAATTTCAGAATCTTTTGTATTTGGCTCATGTACTCTGATTTTTTGGAGGTTCGTGTTTGCTCTGCTCCTATTTTGTATTGTTTTATGGACTTTTGAACTTGAAAACTGTTCGTTATCTCCATATCTTTCATTGATAGACATTAGAACTCTTCTATCGTCAAATTCCCTTATTTGTATGGCAATAAACCATTATCACTTAAAAGTGGGATGCATGTCTCCCAGCTGATTTGATACACAAAAACATGTTCTTCGTATGGTCAGTTTAAAAAAAAACAAGACAGTCTACCGACAAATAAGTAGAGTTCGTCTACAATCTCTCCAATCTAAAGTTAAGGTTAATAATAGATACTAGTACATTAACCTTGGTTAAAAATATTTAATCCAGCGTTGGGTAGAATGTTGAATGACCTATTCAGTACAGGTTGCTAGGCCATGGATTTTATACTGAAGTGATTACATATATTATTATTTCCATTTACCAAGTCACGACAAATGTATAAGTAGGCAGGGAATGCGTAAAGGTTACATAAAAAATATTTTATTTTAACATCAAATTTGGTGATTTAAAAAAAAGCGGATTGATATGTTTTATATATTTATTCAAATTTTTTGCTGTATAATGTTTACATATTTTTAAACATTTCGAAGATTTTTTATGTGTTATATGAATTAATTTTGGAGTACGAAATATTTTCATGTTTATTTTGATCTTGTTCAAGTACTGCTAGTATTTTGCCTTAAACGCAAAATATTATTTGTAACTGTGTGATAATTATGTATTAATCTTAACCGTGTTTATCTCCTAAAGTTTATTTTTTCAATACATTAACGGCCATTGAAATCATATGCATATTTTAAAAGTACCTTCATATGCAAATTTATGTGCAGATGAATGATGATTTTTGAATGTGCTGTAAAAAATAATTAGTATTCCATCAAGTTTAAATTTTTAGTTCTGAACGTAATTGACACTTTCAGTCTGATTCTACATTTCAATTTGTAACTGAAAACAGAATTCAATAAAGAGAAAAGATTTTCGTGTGTTTTGATGTATATTTATCAGTGCAGCATAATTAAGAAAACAACAAAACACTTGTTCTTCTTGTAAACAAAAAAATTATTTATTTTATATTTTCATGTCTTTAACATTTGAATATTTGGAAACACAGTCATTTTGATTTCTATGTTAAAAATTTCTTTTTTGAGTACAAAGTTATCTGCGTCCTGTCGTTTTTTTTCTTGTTTTGATTTTTCACATGTATCAAAGAAATCAGAAAAATAACACAACACAAAAGTTAAACTTAGAGGAGGCAAAATAATCCATAAAACAGTTTGCTATGAAAAAGAGAGATTTTGTGACTCTGAATATTCAGTATCAACCAGACTAGATATAATTGATTGGATCCTCGGCAGTTTTTCCTACTTCTAAACCAGTAAGGGAAACATCTGTTTTCCTAAAGTTGCTGTATATTTTGACATGGATGTAACTGTTAACACCTGTCTGGATCTGAAAGAATAAAAATTAATTTTCAAATACATTTATCTTTTTATATGTCAATCTGCAAAATCAAAGTAAAGTAAAATCGATTTATTTTATCAAATCCATACGTATAAAAAATGTTATAGAAACATTTGAGCAGCTTAAATGTTATATGTAAGTAAAAATCTTGATACATAAATATATATAAAAGATATTTATGATCTTGACAAATTGGATACACTGTATGTATCGAATATTTCTGGAATATACTTCCTACAATGTACTTTATTTAATTAATATAACTATCAATAAAAAGACTTTAATTACTCTGAAAAAAAAGAATACTAACCTTAACAAAATAGTTGACTCCATTTACCAATTGGGTTTTATAGGAAATTGGCTCAAACATACTTCTTTCCTCATTGGAAGGAAGCTGTGTCAGTATATCCCCTTTCACCTAGGAAAAAAACACTTTATCATAATACACATCATTACACTCTTCAAAAAAACCGTGAACATAAATGAATCAATGTAGGACTTAGATATACGAATTTTATTTTGATCAATATGTATTCCAGTCAGTGAAGAGTGCACATGTACATAAAATGACGTATTCTTCCATTCTATCACAACAAAATGATTATTGATCTGCACTGACACAACACATGATTTGATAAACCGAACAATAATTAAAGCCAGTAGTAAACACCACTTAACTTAGAATGATGATATAACAACTGTCATTACTGAGTACTCACTCTATCAACTAATTCTCTGATCTCTTGATCCACGGGGCGGGCATCCTGAGAAATACCCCCTACCCTACGACCACCAAGGGCATTGGTAAGCCCAAGTAAACACAAACATAGTCCGAGTTTCAAGTACGCCATATTTGTCCTAATGTCCTGGTCGGATGAAAACAGCTGACGATTTATTTATATACTTGAGAATTACAAATGCACGTGATTATATATGACAAGCTACGTCATCCACATAAAAAGCATTGCGCCGTGAATAAACAAGGGATTTTCCCCCTAGCGGTCACAGCTGTGTGCTGTGGCTGGTAAAGTGTTTACATTTGATATACAGTAGCGATTTAGAAATAACCACGAGAAAAAAATCAAAGTACTGAAAGTACTGGGAAGCGCTAAGTATATTGATTTGGAATTCGTCAGAATTATTTTAATTTAAAATGTCCTGTTGTATTGAATTCTTAGCGATATTTTGACAGTGCAGTAGCGCTAGATCGAGCAAGTTGTCAAAAAGTTTGTGAGTCCTGAATATGTGAACCCCGTTTGGATATGAAATTCAACATTGTCTCATGCCTTTTTTTTTCAAGCATTATACATTATCCTCGTATGCCAAAAGATCAATCAATTTCACCTACAGTACTGTACAAGAAATTGCAAGAAAATATTTTTGCGTGTAAAATTATTTTCTTTCGAGATGGTAATCGAGTTTTCCGATCAAATTTAAAATCTAAATGTACATGTAGCTATACTTTCTTCCCACAAATTTTTATTAGAATAGAAAATTTGGTGTTAACATCAAATTTTCTATTTTAATAAAAAATTGTGGGAAATCAATACTTTCGCTGGAAAATGTATATATTGTATTTGGAAAAAAATGTTAACACTTGAAAATATCGCTAAAATTCCTCACATTTACGTGCAACACTGAAAGATAAAATCTTCTGGTGATCATATTTAATAACAAATTCATTCTGCGTTTACAGGTTTTTCAAATTGAAGATTGGCATCATCTTTGTAACTACGTCATATGTAAATGAAATTAACATCCGTAGAATTAACGCCCTTTATGTTAGAGATAATATGTAAATATACATTTTAGTATAAAGATATAATTATATTTATATTTTGATGCTATCATGTAATCTCTGATTTTCAAATATATGATTTATAGTGTACATGTATTTGCAGTAACATTTGTGTTGATATACAATATGTGTCACTCATTAGTAATTGATACGTTTTTGCAATAAAATTTTTACACTTTTCTTCTTTGGATTAAAAATACGTCAAAACCCGTCATACGTTAAACCCCCAAAAGTATTTTGACTATTGTTGAAATAATTTAAAATGCTTCAGTATTTTTTGCCGACGCCTGGTGCTTTTCACCATTCTTTACTTGTGTATGTATCATCTTCACTACCATGCAAAACATGTTGAGAGGAAAAACATACTGAGTATCTATTGTTGTGCTAGTTAAAAAGGAATGCTGAAAATAATTGCTCATAATTTTTCTGCTATTTCAATGATTAATAATTCAAGAGTCCAAGAAAGAAAATACAGTATTAATCTCAAGTATTAGTAAATCTTCATGAAGGTATACAACATTATTTTATTCTGTTTTTATTTAGTCTTCATTAAGAATCGGCAACACAGCTGAGACACATCTTTACATAAACTATATAATCCTAGATCCCTACTTCAAGTATTACACTGTTTGCTCAGTATTTCATCAGCCCTATTTCTGTCCATTGCTAAGAACGTTAATTAAAGTTTTAGCATTTTTCGCTATATCCTGCACACTACACGCACAATTTTAGAGCACAACACATGTATTCCGAGCAATAAGTTTTACTATTTGAGTGGATTCGTTGAAAACACATCCACCACATGCTCTACATGTCTGTACAGCTACAAATTGTCATTCCTTTCGAATTTATGTACAACACAAGTATAGACATTAATTAGAAAAGATTGTCCTTAAATGCATTCCAGTCTGTTACTAATTGATACTTAGATGCGAAAATCAACTTCACTTATAAATCTCAGCATGGTGCAAGATGTTAATAGAAAGGCTTATTTTAGTGCCTGAAATAATTGTCTAGAAGAAAAAATAATTATAGTTTATATGGATATATAGAACGTACCATATTATGTAAGTAGTACATTGTAAATCAATTTTATGCGATTTCTTTTTCTGAATAACTCACTTCCAGTTTGAGATTTAAAAAATTATCAAATTCCCATCCGAGTTTTAAATCATGTACCGGGTACTTATTGAATATTCAGGCACTATATTGCATGTACATAAAAAATAATATACTGGTTTTATAATTAAGTAATTGCGCCATAGAGACAGCAATTGTAAGCTACGTGGAACCAAATTAATGTGTGCCGACATGATTTAAATAAACTACAATATATAGAGAAGAGCATGATAAGAACTGCTCTTATCTTCTAGCTGTGGGACATCCTTAAACCTTACTAATTGCCTTCTATGATTAGAAATGCTCGTGACGCAGCATTACACTAAAATAGCAGGAAGAGAGTCAGGGATTTCCAGTTGCATATTTTTAGCATAACAAGCGGAGTTATCTAACTTGCTTATAGTGGCGCTGGATCCAGAACGGAAGTAGATTTACGCTGACAGAAAGCGCTTTGCGCTGCGCTTAGCGCTTAAAAAGAAACTACACATAGAGTTTAAAGGTAAAATACACGTATCATTTAACAGATGACCACCGGGGGTAACTAAACATATCGTGACCAATTGTCCTAATGGTATATGATAAAACGTTGGAGATATAATTAATGTGCTTTTCTGAGATAAAATTTATTGCGGAAAATAACTTTTAGCAGGTGTTTATATACTGTAACCCTTTAATTTTTAATTTACCCCCAAGAACATACAGAAATTCTGAATCTTTCGAAATCAAAAGTTATTAATAATTAAGTATTTTTATCCGAATTTTTATAGCTTTACAAATGATTTTTTTTTTGGGGGGGGGTAACTGTTAATTTATATATTACATTTCGCATATTATATTTTCGTGATTTGTTCTAGAGACATTTATTTTTTTCCCCGTAAAATCACTGATTAAGAGATATTTTGATGTATATCATTATAGGTGAACTCATCCTATAAGGTATAAACTTCTGCAAAAAGTTTTAAAAAACTTTTTTAAAAAAAGTTTAAGTTAGTGGCGTGATAAAAATACAAACACTTTGGTAATACATCAGATATTTAGTTCAGTTTAGTTCAATTTTAATCGTTCAACTAAAATTGATTGTTTGTTTTCGGTTGATCTTCTACATTTTTTGCACATTTTCGGTTTTCTTCATAAAAATTACTTTAGTAGCATCACTTATAAACAAAAGTATTCTGAAGATTATCATTTAAAGAGTTGCTTAAATTTCTGATCGAAAATATTTATTGGTTTTTGGAGATAGATCTTCTACTCCGTCGGAAATCACAATGATTCCAATTTCGCGCGTTTTTTTTTTTTCAGTTCCATTTTTGTACTCATTTGAAGCAGAATTATAACAGAGAAGACGAAAACACTTCATATGGCTTTGACTCGACTTTATGATACATCAGAATGCTTAACCAATTTAAAATAGTTGTATCGACATATCCAGTGAAGTTGATGCTACAGATACTTTGCAGTATAACACATCGTTTCATACTCTGATTATTTTTATGCTAGAAAAATACTTAATGGTAAGCTAACAAGAAAATATTATGACAAATGTGATGATTTTCTATTGTCAATTTCCCTTATATATGTAGCAATACACCTGCCAAGAATTTCTAAAACGAGTCAAGCTATTGACAAAAAAAGTTGATGAAATAATAATATGAACAGTATTGGTTGAAATGAAACTATCATTAAGTCATATGCTGACATGTTTAATACTATATTTCCCTTTTTCCTGATCATGACAAGAAGCACACAGTGGGTGTAACCGGTCGATATAGCCACTTTATCTAATCTTTGATGTTTTTAGACGCTTGTTTTTACTCGGTCCTGTTTCTATTGTTTCTGTTCGTTTTCTCTATTTCATTTAAAGTTCAATATTGCATCCCAAAATATCTACGATACTTTTTATTCCATTTTTTTATTTGAAAATATGTTTTCATAATTCATATTCAAACAAAAGCTAAATGAGGGGACTTCGAGTCATAATGACCACAAGGTATTTATTTGTCTCAACATTTATATCTGAAACTCAAATTTATGTATCAACAGATATATTATTTTCAAATATAACTGAATAATATTATAATCGTTTACTTCCTAAAGAAAAAAAAAGGAAATATCAAATACAGTACTTGTTCAGGTAGATTTTGACATATTGCAAATGCTGATATGACAATGAATGTTCTAATCTACTTGTATAAAATGTAATAAATATAATGGTAATAAGCAGCAAAAGACTGTTAAGGCGCTCCGAAAATAAAACAAGCAAAATGAAATGCGTAATTTTTGGAGTCGTCACAAGGAATCCACCTTATCCTTATAATTAAAAAAAGAGAGATAATGAATTCAAAATAAAAAATATAATATAACACGATCATTAAATATTATCCATTAAAATAAGAATACGATTTTGCAAAAAATAACAAACAAAACAAAATGTGTTTGTGAAACACTAACCGATGGTACCTGTAACATTATTCTGAAGTGGTAAACATCGCAATGGTTATGGGCTAGGTTAAAGTTGACAACAGACAGACAGACAAACAGACAGGGCAAAAACAATATACCCTTAGGATCTTTCGATCATGGGCATACAAAAGAAAAGGACGTATTTTAGCACTAATTGTCAATTTTGAACATTAGTAACTCGTCATAAAAGACCGGGGGATCGATTATCCGATTGATTTCGTATGTAACTGCCATTTTTCTTATTTGAAAAAAGTATTTGGTCATTGAACGATGCTCTAGTTAAAGAACGGTATGTTATTATTTCTTGATATGATAAAAACGATATAACACTTTAAAGCTGCAAATTTTATTCATATACTGTTATTTTTCATGATGCAAATCGTAAATTAATCTTTTAATTTTAGTTAACCAATACCATATTAGATGTCTAGAAGAAGAAAAAATAACGAATGAACAACCTAAAAAATAAGTATAAAAAGATTTCCTATCTATTCAAAAAATAAAGTTATCTGAATGATATATATTCAGAAAGAAACAAGGATACTTAATTGACACACACAAAATATATCAGAATTAAAGAAATTTTACTTAAAAAAAAACGATATGATAGATTTAAACAGTCTCTGCTTTTCCGACACTTAAATACGTATATAACAATACTTTTTGTTTGCATTATATTGAAATTGGACTTGACAAAATTAAACTCCACAACACTCTTTTTAAAATTTTTAAAACTTAATATACAAATGCATGATTTCGACTTATGCCTCTATAGGGAGTTCAGCATTATCAAGTTCAGCCTCCTCAAACATATCTAATGCTGGATGAGCATATTTGACAGGAAGCTGAGGATCAGCATCCAATCCTGATAAATAATTGAAAATTTCTATATGACCACTTCTCTCAGCACAGTGGATTGGTGTTTGTTTCTTTTTATTCGAAACATTGATATCGCTTTCATTTTTACATAGCAATTTTACTATTTCAATGTGCCCATTTGTAGCTGCCCAATGAAGGGGTGTATCCCCATACTTATCTTGTACATTGAGGTCCGCTTTCTTGTCAATGAGGTATTTGACAATGGTTTCATGGTTTCTTTTAGAGGCTCGATACAAGGCAGATTGATTCTTCATGTTCCTAGTATTGACATCGGCCCCATTCTCAATAAGAAACTTAACAATGTCGTAAAAACCACGTTTTGCTGCACAATAAAGCGGTGATTTACAGCGTCTATCTGCTTGGTTAACAAAAGCACCATGATTCACTAGAGATATAACAATATTCAAGTACCCCTTTTGACATGCCCAGTACAAAGCTGTCTGCTGCAACTCACAGGACATATTAACGTCAGACTCTGTTTTCGCGCTTAACAATGAGTGAACAACTTCATGATGTCCTCTCCTTGCTGCCCAGTAAAGGGGAGATTCATTTTGTTTGTTGGAAAGGTTAATATCCGCCCCTTTTGCTAAAAGTAATTGCAAAACACACACGTGATTCCTTTTTGCTGCTCGAAATACTGCAGATTTGGAGTTTTTGGTACTTGTGTTTACAACAGCACCACTACTGATAAGATATTCCACCATTTCTGTATGTCCACGCTTTGATGCACAGTAAAGTGGAGATTTATTATCTTTATCCGTCAAATTTACCTCGGCTCCTCTGTTTATTAGACAAGTGGCTATATCTAACCTGCCCTTTTGAGACGCCCAGTATAGTGCAGTTTTTCCACCATCAGACTGACTGTCAACAAAAGCATTGTTTGCCAATAACAACTCTACAATAGTTTCATGACCTTTTTTAGAAGCCCAGTACAAAGGAGAGTACCCCTTTTTGTCAGTCTTATTCACATTAGCTGAGTTATCTATCAAATATTTACAAATTTCAAAATATCCTCTCTTTGCCGCCCTGTAAAGTGCTGTTCTGTTCTTCGTTGTTGGCCTATTTATGTCAGCTCCTTTTTTGACAAGCAACTTAATGATTTTTAGATATCCTCGCTTAGCCGCGCAATATAATGGAGATTTATTTTTACTGTCACTTTGATCACATTCTGCCCCATGGTCTATTAGAAAATCTGCAATATCATAATGGCCCTTTTGAGCAACCCAGTACAATGGAGACTTTCGATCTTCGTCGGTTTTGTTTACTTGAGCACCATGTTCAACTAAGAGCTTCACTATGTCTAAAGACCCTAGTTTTGCTGCATAATATAGAGCAGTTTTCTCTTTTTCATTGCTTTTGTTGACATTTACATTATTTTGTAGAAGAAATTCCACCGTTTTGACATTTTTGCCCATTACTGCAGCAATCAGTGGGAATTGTGGTGATCCAAGATGAAGAGAAGCACCTTTCTCAATCAAATATTCAACGTCAGAAGACACTCCAAATCGGCATGCCAATACCAAAGGTGTACTTTCGTTTTCATCTTTCAGATTGACATTAGCCCCCATTTCGACTAGTTTCCTCATTGCGCTGGTGAAGCCCATATAACAAGAAGCAGTCAGTGGGGTAAATTTTTTATGCTTATTTAGGCAATCACTTTCTTCATCTTCAATATTAGTACAGGAAAAACAAGTGGTGTTGATGGTTTGAATATCTACACATCTTACAATGATTTCAAAACATTTGTAGTCTTCACTGAAGATTGCAAGAAGTAACAGTCTTATTTGTTCGACGTCGTCACTGGAAGATTGTTCTATCCAATATCTGCTGTGTTTGGCTTTACTGACTATATCTTTAAGAAGACTTGAAATCCCATATCCAATCACCCAACTCACAGCTTTAACATTTCCCTCATAATAAATATTGTCCTCAATAACATTTTCTGTTCGACCTTCCAAAAGTTTCTCACGAAACCATTCACAATCATTACTTTTCAAAGACAAGTACCTCTTTGCTTTTTTGTCAGATCTTTCGATTCGATAATCACGATGATCTATAGGCTTCAGGGAAAGAAACGTTATCTCAAAATCAGACAGTTCCATTTGTTGAATAGAAGTACAACACATTCTGCAGAATAATTCATCATTCCAACATTTATTTGTAAATGCTTCCAGGTATTTCAGGTCTTTGATGTCAGTAAAGATTCTTTCTTTCAGACTCTCTCTTTTCACTAAAACGCAAAGCTTTTCCTCATGACATGAAGCCTCTATCTCCTCGTTTATCAAACATTTCTCTGATATAAAATTACACTCCATATATTTAAGCAAGCGGTTTGTATGATCTTTTCCATAATGAAAAGCAAGCATCTCAAAGACATATGTATGTTTAAAGATGTAATGTTTCCCATCTCTAAGAAACCATTGCGTTTCTTGAACTAGTCGATCACATTCTTCATCAATATCTTTAATAGAGAATCCATTTCTACAATATTCATGACATGAGTCCGCTTCGATTCTTATTCTTTCTGAACTATCATCTGAATTGTCGAAAGGATAAGAAAAAGAACCTTTTAATACACAGTATACTAGAAACAAATAAGAAACTTGTCTTTCTTCTCGCATAGAATCAAGGTATTTGAGAAATACCATTTGGTGATTGTCAAAGAATTCTAATGATTTTAGTCTTAGTTCCTTGAAATCAGACAGAAGCATACAAAGAAGAGGGAAAGCCTGGCTTTTGGAACCTGTTAGCTTGTCTACTTCTGCCACCTTGTAATGGCCGCATACATGATTAAGTAAACCTGTTTTTTCCTGAATGCCCAGACTTATTACAATATCCGAGAGATCTACAATTGTTGCAACAAGCGAAAAATTGAATTTCTTTATTTTCTCGTACACTGCTGTTCTGCAGGTCATAATAAGTTTCGAATACTTCGATTTCAGCAATGTGTTAAGATCTCTATAACTTTCTAAATCTTGCACAAAAGAAATATCAAAACCAAACATTCCAAAGGCATTATCCCAAAGAAACACAACTTTTGAGTCAACATCCGAATCCAACTTTATATCTTTAAAAGCAGAAATTTTCTTTATCACAAAGTCTTCTTCAGCAAGGCAATAAGCCACTTGTTTCATTGTTGCAGTTTTTCCACATCCAGAATCACCAATGATAAGAACGCATTTATTCTTTTCCACGGCATCTTTTACATCCTTAAATTGTCTTGTTTCTTCGTAAAAGAGCGACTTTTCTTTTGCAGGATTACAAGCTAAAATCACACAATCACTAATTAAAACACAAAAATTAAATTTAGCAACAAAGGCAGGTTTGTTGATGAATATTCTTAGATTATAATCCACACAAGACTGATCTAGATAGGGCTTCGATAAACTAGAATATGCCGGATGCAAAAGCTTTAACCTGATCACTCATGCAGAGGTATACTTATGGATCAATTTAAGTAAGTCTGATAGAGTGCATTGCAGTTGCAAAAATCATTCAAGCTTTGATATCAAAGGGCTTGAAGTTAGACACTAGAATGAGTCTGCTCCAAAAATTAATCTGATCTCTTTTCGAGAGAATGTTAGTTAAACCAGTATGTACTGTAGGTTTGAGAGTGTTCGTCCCTTATAAATCATGCAAGATTGGTATAGAGAGGACATGAAGTTACATAAGAATAAACTTGATCCAAAAAACCTTTAACCTGGTCACGTATCCAGATGAAGGTCAAATCTTGCATGTGTAGCAATGCTGGTTTTATACATCAATGTATCTTCAAGCGAGGTTGATCAGTAAAGAGTATATGTTTAATTAATCCAAAGTCTAAAACCTGGCCGATTATTTAGAAAAGGAAGTCAAATTAAGCATTTAAAGCGAGTCTGGAAGTGTGCATCCTTAGATGTATCATTCAAGTAAGTATGGTCAACAGAATGCTTATTTGTGCTTTAGAATGAATCTGCTCCAAAAATTTTAATCATACGGAAATGTAGTTCAAATTCACAGCATCCGTAAAGTAAATCTTGTAGCGTGCATTCTTAGATTTACCATGATCCCTGAAAGTTTTGTCAGTTTGGAACTTATAGTTAAAACCAATGATGTCTGAAAAATTTGAACGATCTGAAAATTGACCTTGTCAAAAAGCAAGTTAATTAGGGAGATACAGAATGGAGCGAAGCATATAACCTTACTACAAAGAAGCAAAGTTTGAATTAATATACATTGCAAATTTCATTAGGATTAATCCAAAAAATGAATACCTCAGTTAACTTCATATTCTCAATGGTTTCTTG